TAGCCAGCTGTATTTAGATGTATTATAATGAAGTTCATATACAAATTAAAAAGAATAGGACTTAGGCAGCTACCCTGAGGAAGACCTATGAAGGTGGAGCGTAAGTTAGTGGAACCGTATGGGGATGTGAATTTTAAAGTTCTATGTGAAAACAAGAGGGAGATAAGATTAATGAATATAGGGGGTAGTTTTAGTGAATTAAGATAAAATAGAAGAGTTGGTATATGGACTGAATCAAAGGCACCACGAATGTCAATAAAGGCGGCAGGTAGAAAATTTTTGTTATTGAACGCTTGGTAAATTTTGCTCGAAAAATTTGCGAGGCATTCAAGTGTGCCTCTTCCTTTTCTGAAGGCAAATAAATTTATAGAGAGAATAGAATTGTGTTCGAGCCACCAATCAAGTCGGTTTATAAAAATAAATTCCATAATTTTGCATAACGCTGAGGACAAGGCGATGGGTCTGAATGCATTGTTAGCGTTGGCTTTGGGAATAGGTATGACTTTGAATTCATTCCACGAGTTAGGAATTTTATTGATAAGAAGAATTTTGTTGAGAATATTTAGAAGGTATTCGACGGCATTAGTAGGCAAATGTTTGAGCATGATGGGGGAAATATTGTCTAGACCAGAAGCAAATTGATTTACGCGAGGCAATCGCCGCGTTTAGCTCACTTAAGGTAATAGGCGTGGCGATTACGTGAGTGGTAGGTGAATTGGAAATAGACGGAATTGATATATGTGAGGCTTCGGATCGCGAAGGGACGTAACAAGGTGATACTTTACAGCAGAAATCGTCAAACCAACTGTCATTGTGAGGACGAGGGTGAGTAAAAATACTATTGCGAAAGCGTTTAGCGGTGTTCCAAGTAGATTGGATGGAAGATGAAGGGTTGAAATTAATACAAACTTGATTCCAAGCTTGCCTTTTAGATTCTTTTAAGAGACGCGTGGTTGCAACGCTGGCATTGCGATAAATGAGATAATCTTGAATGGATCCTGAACGGATAAAGGTTTTATATAAGGATTTGCGATCGGAAACTGCTTTGGTGCAAGAAGAATTCCATCACGATGGAGAGGGGGGAAAATTACAGCGGTTATTGTGTTTGATAGGAATAGTTTTCTTAGAAATATCTAAGATCATATAAGTGAATTGTTCATTATCTTTTAATGGACAAGTGTAGGAACTGAGAGAAGGGATTGAAGAGTTTATGAGTTGGGAGAAAAGGGGCCAATCAGCTTTATTGAGATGAAATTTAATGTTGGAGGAGAGATCACTGTGTAAGGTGGGTCCGTTATTAGGTGAGAAATTGGGATCAGTTGAATTGACAGATATAATGATGGGTAAATGATCACTACCGTTGGAGTCATCTATGATGCGCCAGGTAGAGAGCCAGAATAAATTTGGGGTAGTTAAAGATAAATCAATGCACGAATTTGTAGAGTTGGGTCTACCTACGTGCGTAGGTGAGCCGTTATTCAGTATATTCAGATTAACGGAGTTTAACGCGTCGTAGATTAAATTACCTCATCTGGTGGGCGTGATGGAACCCCAAGCAGGGTGGTGGGCATTAAGGTCCCCTGTAAAGAAAGAGTTGTGCTCAGCAAGTCGGAAGAGAGAAAGCCAAACTTCAGGGGGAATAGGGGAGTCATTTGGACTGTAACAGGACCAGAAAGATGTGTTTGGTAAACCGTCAATGTTTGCTATTTTTTTACCTATTAAATCAATGTTATTTTCTAGAAGTAGTTGTTTTAAAGAGGGATTAATTTCTATTAAAGAAACATTAAATGAGGTGTGGGCTGCAATTGCATCGCCGCCATAACCGTCAGTTCGATCTTGTCTGAATAAATTAAAGTGAGGGATAAAACAATTGCGGGATGTGAGTAACCAGGTCTCGGAAATGAGTATTATGTAGGATTTGTAGGAGAAAATGAGGTTTTGAATAGAAGGGAGTCTTGCAGGAAGACTGCGGACATTCCATTGAAGAAGATTAATCATTAAAAGAGATAACGGAGGTGTTTGGAATAGAGAGACAAGATAAGAAGGATGATTCGATTAAATTTTGAAGAGAAGAGGGAGATAAGGGGGAAGAGTTGGGGGAGTTGGATAAGGATTCGGAAAGTTTGATGCAGAAGGCGTTAACCCATGTTAGATCAGCATGAGTAAGTTTGGATCCTGGGGCCGATTTTTACTAGCATAACCTAAGAAGTGCCCATTTGGTAGAGAAAAATTATTTTGGTTTGGAACATGAAAATTGGTTAGTTTAGAATAGGAAGAATGGTTGTTATGTTTCCTATGTGGTGCATATCACCATAGTGATAATGAGATTGAGAAGTTAACGGGGGAAAAGAACTCGTGGAAGTGATTGAGACTTGATGAGAAGGATTTGTCACAGGATGTTTGTTAACAATATTTGAATAGCTAAATGCGCCTGAGGAGTAATTTTTTTTCTTGAGAGAGACCGCTTCACGGAAAGGTAGGTTTTCTGTAGCCACAATTTTCTTAACATCCCTTTGGAATGTCCACTCTTGACAATTCCGATCGGTAGAGAGATGGGGGAGTTTACAGAAGATGCATACTGGATCAGTAGAGTTTGATGAAGGGCAGGTAGTTATTGAGTGGTCATTTAAACCGCAATGACTGCATTTAATTTTACTTCGACAGAATTTTGCCGTGTGGCCAAAGCGTAAACAGTTATTACACTGAATGGGGGAACGGACGCTGGGAGAGATTTTGAAAGTGACGTTGTAAATCGATAGAGCATCTGGTATTTTAGGGGATAAGAATTTAATTTCTACAACCCGAGTAGGAATTAAGATATTTTCTTTTTTGATTGAAATGCGTTTAAAGGCAATTGCACGGACTGTATTATTAAGTCCTTCCCAGAAATCTTCTTCGGTTAGGGAACTATCGACTCTGATTATTCCGAAAGAGTATATGAGCGTAGATGGAATATATGCTGTGAATCCGATGTTTGCGAGTAGAGGGGAGGAGAGAAAGTTGTTTGCAGACATTTTAATATTGAAGGTGATTTTTATTTTTTTGTGACCTATTGGTTTGATGTTGTCTATACCATCAAAATTTGAAGAAAAGATTTTTGCATATTTTAACGGATGCCAGTGATCAATATTTAGGTTTAAATCTGAATGTTCAGCAATGGTAGTGTACGGACCAGTGTAATCCGCGGAGAAGTGTTTATTAAGTTGTTCGAGATTACGTGACGATTGCATTACGTTTGAATCGGAAATTATATTTGTGTTTATATTATCGGCGAAGTTTGTTGAATTTATGGTAACAGAAATATTAGCGTGATCAATAGTAGAATGCAATAAAGTTGAGTCTATATTCATATTATTATCGGCCGCGTCATTAGAGGAGTGAGATAACGAGATATCGTAATTAAATGTACTGCTGGACATTTTTAGAACTGATGGATTAATATTGATCTGCTGTAGAGTGGGAGAAATGGGGCTTGTTGGATTTGATACCTTTTTAGTTTGAGAAGCTTTTTTGCTGGTCTTAACGGTCCAATTCTGATCCGTGTTGTGCGATCTGGAGGCATTGGATAGCTTTTAATTTTTCCAATTGAGCTGTTGTGATCATGCGGACGATTGTTGCCGTCGCCGGCATTGTACAAAAGGCGATAGCAGAATGTAGATAACGGAGCGACGAATTAACTAACGACTAACTTCGATGGTTGACTTATCGCGAATGCTTGTCAAACTTAAAAAAATGGAATTTTTTCTTTGCAAATTACTAGAAAAATTAAAAAGAAAAGTTAATCATTTTGTGGAGGCTTCTTATTCATTGAATCTTGTGGGGACCCTTGTCCCCCCCCCTAAATCCGGCCCAGCACATCGCATATATTCTGCACAAATGTTTACTATGATTTGAAATCAATTTTTATTTTCAAATTTAATTTTGGATTTATTTAGAATTTTTTTAATAATTTTCAATGTATATGAGTATGCACAGCGTGTAACGTGTATTAGCCCGAAAAACGTACGATATGCGTCGTATCGTGCAATGATAATTGAAAATAAAATATTAAATTTTTCCATTTTTATAGATTTTATAGTTAATATTAGGGCTCGGATTTTAAAACATAATATTAATAATTTAAAGCATAGTAAATAACAAAAAAAGCAAAAAAAAGCATTACAAAAAATTAACATAAATTAGTTATAATTTTATAAAACTGAATAAAAAAAATTGAAAAATTAATTTAAATTAAAAAAAAAATTTACTACCATGTATTTGGCAAGATTTCAAGCAGTTAAACTGACTCTATTATCTGACAAGATATTTGTATACATAGAAAATGACCGCTCTATATCCAGTGCCGCAAAAATTGGGTGTGAAGAGTGTGTCAAACACACGGGCCCCAAGGCTTACATACAATTGGGGGGCCCCCTAGTCCTAGCCTAAAATAAACTACACTTTACAAACACACGATTATTTAAAAATATTATATTAAAATTTTCTTTCTATTTAAATATAAAAAAAAATCTAATTTGGTTGGTTTTATGGGGCAGGATCACTAGTTCTGTTGAGTGTATTTTTGAGGGCGGAACATTGACACCGGGCACCTTGAAAACAATTTTAAGGCAGATTCATTATAAAAAACAAAGGGAAATTATGTAAAGTATAATACCTGTCTCTTAATTCATTAGTTTGAACTCGGTCATATGTAGTTCTGTTTTCTCAAGAGAATAACGGTTATAAAAGAATTAACCTCAAATGTCCTACTTTACATGCAACCAGTATACCACAAACTAACCAAAAGCTCATACTGAGCCTCAGCTGCCGAGCCCTCCATAAAAACTTAACAAGAGAAATAAATTTTAAACATTTATCAGAACTGTAACATACATTTTTGGGTAAAACATAAAATTATATAAAAAAAAAACAACATATAATTAATCAAAATCAACTTTTTTTTATAGTTAAATAAGAAAAAAATACTGAAATAACATAAACAAAATTTTACTTCTTTAAAATAGATATATAAATACAAGTTAAAATAGTTATAAAAAAAAAAAGATGTTATAAATATTGAATATCTGTAAATTGCCCAGTATAGAAAGTGTACAATTCTTCTCTAGCATTTTCATAGCGGTTAATATGCTGGTAATTATTGAAATGCATTTGCATGGATGTGTTGTTAGAAAATGTTAAGTGACATAACGGACAACATAGTTCTTCCAGAGACGAATTGCTGCAGTAATGGTTTTGACTAAATCTAAAATATATATGTTGAGCATAATAACATGAATATAAAGAAATAATATTTATAATTTTTAACTTGCTTTTCTTTTAATCTCTGAATTTTACATAATTTGTACATCAATTCTTTACATTCCCCATGCGACATAGTTGGCGATAAAATAACTCCCCATAATAGTTTATAAACATCAGCACCAGCCATAGGATGATTAACAGGGCTATTTTCTTGGTATGGGGACTGTAATCTTGATTTTGGAATTGATCCCCATAAATATCTTCTCAAAAAAGGTTCTGGAGCTTTGAATTTAGTAGGCAAGCTAAATACCCTGTTTCAAATGTAGTTTAGTTAAGATTTGTTGAAAAACTAAAATAACATATAAATATCATACTGCATCAATTTAATTTGTAAATTATGTTGCAATTCAAAAATGTCGCCAGGTCCTTCTTCATCTTCTGGATTGACACATTTGTTTAATAGCATTCTTATAACATTTATCTAATGAAAAAACAATACAAAATCAAAACAAATGATAATTTTTTTTTTTTTATGACAATATAATTATTATACTTTGCTTAAAATGGAACTATCCATTACAGTATCAAATGTAATTTCAATATCATTTTCTCCAAATAATGGTCTCGATGTAATTGGATCATATCCTAATCCACAAATCGCTCCAATCATTTTTGTAAAAGAAGGGTTATACCTAAGAACAAAAATAATAAAATAATTATTTAAGTAATATTAATATAGGAAAATATTACATATAGATATAAAATATTTATTTAAATTTTAAATTTAAACACTCATCTTGTTTACCAAAAAATTATATTTTTTGTTTTCTTTTTTTAAATTTTTAATTACTATTAAAATTTTTTTTTTAATATATATGATTATTATTTTTGGTGTAAATACTTAATATCATATATATTTATTATCTTACATCAAACTCTATAAAACTTAGAATTGGTAATCAAATTAAATTATTAATTAGCAGAAAAATAGTAATATAATATAATATAATACTATTTATACTATGTAATACTTGAGTAGAACCAATTTTTTTTTTTATAAAAATAAAGCTTACCGGATTTCTACACAAGGTGAGAATAAAAGACAAATAATAGCAGGTATTCCAGGAATATTTGGCATCATTGTTGTATCCCAAAGGGTCAATCTCTCATTTTCATTCATACAAACATTTCCAGCAACAAACAATCTGGAAAAAAGACATAATAAATATTTCAATCAATGTCATATTCAAATAAAAATTGTATACTTACCTTTCGTGATAATCATTAGGGTTAGTGTCTAATAAAACTGAATTCACAGATTGACTTTCGATTTTAACAATTTTAGTAATATTATTATGACTTATTCCATTAACGGTCATTTCTAATGGACTATTAGGTCCTTTAAAATGATGCTACATTAAAACAAATTGTGAAATTATTTAAGATTTAAGAATATACAATTTGATTGAAATAAATAAATAATAATAATTGCATTTATGTTAGGATATTGGTATTTAAAAACCAGATACTAGTTGATAATTTTAATTAACAAAATTCATAGCATTTACTATCAACAACACAAAAAATCAATTATTGTTAATATATCCTAAATTAATTAAATTAATTATTTATTAGTTCTAATATAAATTAGACAAATAATATACACACAATATACGACCAGAGAAACAATATGTTTTATGCAAGGTTTAAATATCTTATTACTTTATTATAAAAACTAAGGTTGAAGAAAATAATTTCATAAGCCATATAATATGTTATGTATATTTAAATACACAAATTACTTAAATATTTAAACAATTAAAGAATAATTTTAATTATATTACCATTGTATAAGATTCTGCTTCTGTAGGGCTTTTTAAGTAACATGAGATATTAGACATTTGATAGAGTTCATTCTTCGCATTTCCAATAATTCTTAACCTTTTTTCGTGATCCATCTTAAATTTAAAATATAGACATTTAATATTTATAAGTTAATATATTTAAAAATAATAAAATAATTTTTTATTCTATTAATGTATTATTATTTACTGTATTATAACTTTTGAAGCTGGGATGAATTTTTTGTAAAGTTTTGATTAATATATCCAAAGTTATAATTTTACATTTAATTTAAATTATAAATATTTATGTCACATATTGAAAAAACACTAGTCAATGAAATTTGTTATTATTTTTTGGTTTATTTATGATTGGAAATTCGTTATTAATAAAATATTAATTCACAACTAGACAAAGAAATATTAATTTACACTTATAGTCATTTTAAAATTTTAATTACAAATATAAAATGCAATACATTATAAATATGTAAACATGTTTTTATAAAAAAATAAGATTGATTTTTATTGTAATTTATTTTATTAACTAAATTAATTAATATAATACTTTATTATATTTAATATTGATTTATTAAAAAAATACCAGCAGTTGACCACAATATGTTATCATGCAATAATCATATCCAATTATAGTTAGAATTTTAAATAAATACTTTTGAAGCAAACGATTCTTCAGATCGTTTAGCTAAGTTGTGCTTAATTAGCTCTTCTGGAATTGAAATATATTCTCCTTCATTTATGTATTTTAGATCTTCAAATGAGACAATACCATTAACTATAGAATATATCTAAACAAAAAGTTTAATTTATAATGTTTCTATAAATTATAATATGGAAAAATTAAAGACAAATATAATATTAATAATAATGTATGTTTTTTTTTTTATGATTAAAAGATAATTAGCTTAGGCAAATAATTAAACAATTTTACACAAGTTATTATACTATATAATAACTTTTAAAAAGTAATACATTATAGTGTTATTGTTATTAGTTAAAGTTAATTTTCAAATAAATACCTAAAAAAAAAAAAAAAAATAACTAAATATTTTACTTTTCCGTAAAATACTCCATTAGAATTTTCAACTATTTTAAATATTTCATTAGCTTCATCAGACCAATTACTCTCCAATTTTCCATTTGTTGATGGACGAATTTTTGCAATTGTACATTGAAAAGCTAATGCTGGTATACTATATATTTTAGTTTTTATATCTTCATTAATAATGCTGAATATATTTTCCACTAATACATCAACTGTTTCTCCAAAATCTATCAAAAAAAAACTAATGCAAACATTTGTTTTTAATTATTTAATTGCTTAGTAATTTTAATATTTATTTAATAATGAAAATATTCACTCGGTATTTTTCTCGAGGACCAGGTATAAAATTCATTAATTTTGCCCTGTAGTTATCATTTTTATACATCACAATATAAAATTCATTAATTGCTAAATCTCTCACATGAGTTTTAGTATAATTTATTTTATTACTTAAAGTATTCCATATATTAGAAAGCTTATTAGTATATGCTTCACCATAGAGATGAGCCCAAAAACACGAAATAGATTCAAACTGAAATCAAATTCAAATAAATAAAAATTATAAAAAATAAAATGCTTATAGATAATAGTTCATAGTAAGGAAAATATTAATATAATTATCATTATTTTTGCTGTCATAGATTAATTCTTACATTCAAATACATTAAATATAAATCAAGTGAATTACATTATGAAAAATGTATGTACAGCATTACATGTACAAAAACCTTTTAGTTTTTTAATTTTTCAATAAAATTGTTTATATAAGTAAATCCAAATTTATGAAAAACAGTAGAAAATTATCTTTAACCTGTCATTGTTGATGTTAATACATTTCACTCACATAATTGCAATTTTTGGAACTACTGGTTGTAATGTGTTTCTATTTTAACAGAATTATATATATGCTTCATTGAGAGGTTCATGAAAATAAATACTAGGAAATACTATGAGTTGTAAATAAACTATGTTATCAAATCTTGAAGCAGATAATTAATTTTATTTTTACATTATTTCAGGTAACAAGCAACGATATTTTTAAACAGAACATTGCTTTCATGTTGTATAGTCTTCCTATAGTATCATTTATTAATTTTTAATGGTCAGTATTCTGGTATAATATTGTGCGTTTGCATGTCAGTGTTATTTTTTTGTGTACATTTGTGTATCTCGTGAATTTTTTATCGTATTCAAATATTTTGTGATAACCAAATAAGTACTGTGTTGGAAGAACTTGATGAAGATGTAGAATCAAATGACAGTAATGATTTTGACATTAACTGATTTTGTAATAGTTTACCCAACTTGTATAGTATAATCAGGGTTGGGAAGGATAATTAAAAAAAAAGTATCATGATACATGATACATGAATTTAGTGTATTTAGATACATTGTTACTTTTATACTTCCAATTTAATTTTATTAACTTTTAAATGTAAAAGGCTTATACAATACAATATACAGTCCATACTCTATAGTACTATATACAGCAGGTACTTATAAATTCATCAATATTAAATAATACAATAAGTCAATACATATTATAAAATATTTCACTATAAATTATAGTCTATAATACATAAATACACCAAAATTAAATAAAAACAACATCTTCATTTTTACTTATATATAGTTAGTTTATATTACATTATAGTTATACATGTGTATAATTGGTTATGGATTTATGATTAAAAATAAATATATACGAGTAGATTAGATTGGTCGTGGTCTTAAGGATTACGGTTTTAAATTAAATGTTATATTTTTTCAATAAAATCTTGATTTCCTTTAAGAAAAATTAATTTTTCAAACATTTTGTCTGATAGATTAGATCTATTAGGTGAGTGCACAAAACTAGTAAATGAAAATAAATGCTTAACAGGATTAGATGAACACAGACTTGTATTATAATTTATAAACAGTTTTTTTATAGTTTTTTAAACAATTTAATGATTTGTTATTGTCGTTAAAATAGATGACTAATTCAAGCTCATTTTTTGATTTATAATATACAGTATAATAAATAATAATAAGTACATTACTTTTATATGCAGTCGAAAATTTGTAGTGAATTTAAGAGATCCAGAAAATATTTTATTTTATTTTTTAACATATTGGCATGTCATACACAATTCTTTTACAGCATAATCAGAACCATTTTGTTCATAAGACACATTTTTAAAATATTTTCCATTCAATAATGGTAGAATTTTAATATTTTGTTCAGTAAAAAAATATAAAGAAATCAAATATGAAAAAATTGTCAACGGCTTTATAATTATTTTACTGACAGTACGATAGAACGAATAAAATGGTGCACCAATAATAGTACACTACAGTTAATTATCAGTACTTTTGGTTTTATTTTCTAATTTATGTGGAAAGACCTACTACAATTACAGCCATATCTATATAAAAAAAAAAAAAATATGTAGAGGATTCATATTTTATGAGAACAAAAATTTGAGTTTAGTGCTTATCTGTATGACTGTAATTTTCAAATTATCTTACAAGGTATAACATTGTGTAGTTAATGTTTTCGTTGTTTATTTCAGCTCGATCACACCTGGACATTTATTTTTTGTAAAAATACAATTCATGACACACTTTTTTTATTACTTGGTACTATTCATTACAAATTTTTACAATAATAGTATCTTGAATTATTTGGAAAAAAAAAGATACATGATACTTGCATAAAATGTATCTTTGATACTGTCCAACCCTGGTTATAATAATGAAAATGAAAAAGAAATTGATGAGTCTGATGATACTGCTTAACGATCATTTTTTTTTTTTTTAATTCATTTTAATTCAATAATTTTAAATAAACTTATAAAATTTAACAAATATATTAGAAGTAATTGTAATTTTTTTTTTTTTCTATCAAAAATACTACATGTTTAATGATGTAAGCAAAACACTCACAAGTCAAAAATGATGTTAAATATATAATGTAGCCCATGACAGGTTAATGTTGACTTCATATAACTCAACATGATGAGTTATTTAAAATTATATTCTTAAATTCCAATCAAAGTTATTATTTAAATTAAATAAAAACATTCTAACATTAATACTAAATAAAAATAATAACCATATTATTTATAAATATTTAACAAAATCAAAAAAACCTTAAACAGTACTTACATGTGACACTGATAAGGTTATGTGTTTAACGTTGGTTTGGATCTCTTCAATTATTGATTTTTGAATGGGTAATATCTCCTGTGGTAATTTTTCTTTTTGAGAAGCAATATTTTTTGTATATAATTCTAACTTTTTTTGTGCATCTTCAGGTCTAAAAAAAAAGAATGAGCGATTAATTTTTTTTTTTTTTTTATAATAATTTAATATTGTTTAAAATTAAAATCTCATAGATATAAAATAAACATACAAATATACAATGTAATAGTCATTAAACAAATATATATATATATATATATATATATATATATATTTATTTATTTAACAATATACTTCTTATAATTTTAGTTAATCACAATCTCTACACAAGTTAACTCAAAAATAATGTGATAAAATATGTTAGATATTTAGTATTTAGTATGCTGGTGTATTTATTTGTATACACATTTCTATGTTCATTTTTTAAGATTTTCTTGATCAAATTTTACAATTTGATATACACAATCTGTATAACGTAGAGAATAAGTATGTGATAATATGCAACAAGTAACTACATGAATTTTTATATTAAGAAATCACCCATGGTGACACTCAGTTGGGAATTAAAAAAAATATAAAAATTATTTTTAGAAGAAAAACTCTTAATTATAATTTCTTTTTTAATATGGTTTGAAGTGATAATTTTATTTATTCATGTGACAAACATTAAAAATTAATTATTTATTACTAATAAAAAAGGTACTACTATTAATGAATGATTAATATGAATTCACTATGTAAACTTACTTCAGTAAAGGAATTTTGAATGCAAATTTTAATTGATTCATTTTGAGAGCAATATAAACACCAAAGGATATACTTCCAGGTACTAATTGACTTCCATTAAGATTATTTTTATTCTTCAGATCATTTACATTTGTCATGGGAAATTCAATAAACACTTTGCTGCAGGAAAAAACATTTCCATTAATTTTAACATAATAAAAAGAAAAATATCTGGTACAAATATTTTCAAAATTTTACTGGAAATATAACATATATTTATTTTTATATTGATAAAAATATCAAAAATAGATCACATTATCAAAACTAGTAAATGATAATGATAAATATTTAAAATATTTAATCATTGATAAAATATAATATTTTGATTGTTAATGGATTATAAATTATTTTTAAAATTAATTATATATTTGAAAATGTAAATGTTTATATAATAAAATACATTTTTCTATTTTTAAACACTTCATAATTTTAAATTTAATACATATGGTATTTTTCAAAAATCTTTTTATTTCTCAAGTTCTTCAAAACACAGATTACTAAATGTATAATAAGATAAAATTTTAATGATATTTTAGAAAATAATCACTATAATGATAAAATCATACATTTCTCTTGAAATTAAAAAATATATGATAATGATCAAAACAGTAATTTTTTATAGCATAAATAAATAGTCTGATAACTAGGATTTGGGACTTGAAGTATTTAAATTTTTTTTTTTATTTATTGTAAAATATGGCAGTGTATGAAATAAATTCATTTTTTTGATGCTATGATTTAAAAACCCAAATTTGAATGCGCATATTGTATATTTTTGCATATAAACTTTGTAATTAAGTTCTTATTTGTACCATTATTGTACTTATTTTGCATATTTTGACAAATGATTCAAATTTAAAAATTATATAAATTTGAATTTATCGAAAAAATAAAATATTTAAGCAATCATATGTATCTACTTCCTATTTGCAATATATAACTCACAGCTCTATATAATGTTAGAAAAATAACTTGATTTTTTAGCTTATTTTTTAGCCATTAGAACGGCTCGTATAAAGTATCTCCCAATGTAATAATGTTAATAAAAATGAAAATAAATTTTTATGTTCATGTCAAACTAAAGAATTCCTGATAAATATAATTCAAACTACAACAATTTCAAACTAGTTTATAACTTTTTGTTATTTTTTTAAATTTTTAATTACGTAATACTAATTTATAATTATTTATAATAATAAATATATTAAATATGTATTTTAATGTTTATTATTGTTTTTAAGTGCAATAAGTGCCAAACCCTACTGTTAATATTTTAAAACTATGGCTTAGGCCATTCATACAAAGCTATTTATAAGAAAATAATTACAGATGAAAATCACTAACTAGTTCATGTTGAGTCACTACCTTATGCTATTCAATTTAATACAACAGATGACGCTACTAGTAAGTAATAAATTTGAGATAAATTCTAAGTGATTCAACTGTCAAGTCACCTTTAAGTTTTTTTATCATTTTAGTTTTTTAATGGCCAACAGATCCTTTTTTGTTTTGTATACATTTTGTATAATATATATAATATATATATATTATATAATCATATTTTAAATTATAAAACATGAATAAGCAAAAAATTAATTTAAAGTTTTTAGAAGTGGAGAAACATCAAGTTTTATACAGAAAATAGTATGTTAAAATGTTATTTTTATTGTTAAGTTTAAAGGTAAAGGTCAAATGACAATATAGTTATTTGATTTACAACTTGTGAGATAAATAGTTGTTACTGGAGTCCTTTTTTTTGTACATAGTTGTGAACATAGGCGTACACACGTGGATCGCTGGATGTGCCTAAGTTCCCCTTGAAATGTTGTAAACAGGACCTTAAAATTTAAGTGTAAGAGAAAGAGGCCAGTATTTTAACTAATGTTGCTAAAATGGAATGTAATTTATTCTAAAATATTTGATAAAAAATAAATAATATTACATTATGGAAAAAATAAAATTTTTTTTGCAATAACTTATTATGATAATATAACAGCTATAATTGATTAAAAAAGTACAAATCATAAATAATTGAAGTTATCTGAAAAACTATATGAGATTTAAGGAAAAAATATTCATAAGGACTAATGAACCACAATATAAAATAAAAAATTAAAGTTAGGTTTATTTAATTATTTATACATTATAATTTAAAAAATATACCTATATATTTTGTTAGGATAGGACCCAAAAGTATTGTCACCCCCTGAAATACATGCTTGCGCACACTTATGGTTGTAAAGAAAACAATCTGCTTTTATGAAGTTTATGTTTTTTGGATCTCTGATACAAATATATTTCAAAACAGTTCATTTTTCACATGCCATTCTGAACATACATTTAATGGTCTTTCCTCCCTCTGCTAAATCTATAGTTACTTTTTCTTTTCACATTATTCAATACTGATTGAGGGTATGGTTTCATCACATATTTTGATAATGGAAATGCTTCATAAGCAATATAGTGATAAGTAAATCGGTTACCATTTTCATCATATGTTAACGACGAAAGAAAAGGGATATTAAATCCAGCAATTTGGATCCAATGTTTCATTATTAGAGCACTGAGTTTTGAACATTGTGAATAAACCGTCAGTGTTATAGTAAGCTAATAACAAAGTAAAATTATAAAATTTATAGTTGAAATTGGAAGAACCATTATTTAGAAATTTTTATGAATAGCCCCCGTAAATGAACGAAGTCACTAATTCATTAGTAACTGAAAAATAATTAAAATCACTAAACAGTTAAGTTATTTAAGAATAGCTCAGTTTGTGAAGGACCTTAGTCCTAATATATCATCTTGTAGATAATACTTGTTATTATAATTTCATAAGCATATTTATATACTTTTTACTTTGTAAATAAAAAAAGGAGGAAAGAAATTAGAAAATATAATTGTTCTTACTTTGAAGTACTAAAATGTGCAGTGGGTTTCCCAACTAAGTTGGTAGGAAACATGTTTTCAATAGCTTCTTTATATAATACTTTGGGTTGGTCATTTGGAAAACCAGTAAAATAAACAGTTCGATTAGGATCATGTTCATCTAAAATTTTCAATACATGATGTTCATCCATATATGCATTTGTTATTCCACGTATAAAGTAATTAGGATAAAATGATCCAGCTAAAATTACCTTAAAACAAATTTCTTGAAATAAATAAATATTTGAACAAATTTTAGCAGTGGATTAAAATTACATTTTTTTAAACTTTACCTTACAAGCCATTGCTTTTTCTTCTGGTTTAACCCATTTCATTTGACCAGAGTTCACTACTATATTAAAACTTCTTTTCAATCTATTAGTCACATCATCAACTAAATCATATAATTCTCGAATGGCAGATAATTCTATAAAATTTGCAGAGGCCCAGTTTCTTTCAAGATTTCGATTTCGATCAAATTCTGGTTTTCTTTCAAGCCATCTCTAATAACATCATTAACAAACATAAAATACAATAAAAAAAATAATTGTATCATTTTCACTTATATTCTAATCCACTTTATAATAAGTAATTATGCATTATGTATAACTTTCAGATAAATGTATATAACAAATTAGTTATATGATTTTTATTTTACCTATACATACATATAATAAAACTTTTTAACTATATAAAACTTATATATAAATTAACACGTTGACTGCCACAAGCCCGCCGGCGACCCAAGTGATGTCTTTTATTGTGAAGCCATTTGGGTCGCCGGCGACCTAAATCTTAAAGTTGAAGGATTTTATTGTTTTTTTTTTTAAAAATTATCAAAATTGTCTTGTCTACGCCATGATCCAATCTAAATATTGTTCTCTCCAAGCCGTAAAGAACTAGATACATTTAATGTTGATGATAAATTTGGCAGCCCACGACCCAAGTGGCATTTCACATTAATAATATGATTTAGGTCGCCCGCGACCCAAATGGTTTCACAATAAAAGACATCACTTGGGTCGCCAGCGGGCTTGTGGCAGTCAACGTGTTAAATAAAACTTAAACTTTATACATATAACTTTAATGTTATATATCAATATTATGTAATCACATTTTTCATAAAATATAAAAAGTAATTATCTGTTTTGTTAAGGGTATTAAAATGTTAAGTGGACAAGATATTTAAACATGTCTATATAATTATATTGTAAATACTTGATATGGACTAATATATGCAATTGGATCACTACAAGAATGATTAGCCCAAGTTAACTTTTGTGTGTAGGCTTCTAAACGTTTATTAAAAGGCTGACTAAAAATACTTTTCAATGATAGACCACATGCTGAAAACAGATAAATTACAATTATTAATATTATTACAGAAATTTAATATTTAAAATATTAGTTTTTAGTTAAAAAGGTATAATTTAATAATATTAAAAAATAGCTATAATTAGTAAAAATATTTTATTATTTACTTTATACATTATTAATAAAATACATTTTACTACATTAAAATAAATAATTATTAGAGATGAGCTAATATTAAATTTTACTAATAACTGATAAACCAATATATATGATATAATACCAAACTCATTATTTAAAATATCGAAATAAAATGTATAAAGATTATTATGCTATAGAATATATTACGTTTTATTTTAAATTATTATATTTTATTTCAATAGGTTATAATGCATGAATTAATTTTGGGTTGAATTCATGGTATGAATAAATAAAATGGTTAGGTATTACAATGAAATGTTGAACATGTTAAAATATAAATAAAATAACTGTTACTATAAAATTAAAATATAATTAAATTATTCATAGTATAATTTAATATATATATATATATATATATATATAAAATAAATAGTAAAATGTTTAGATCAAGAGAAATCAGTAAGAATTTAAAAGTTAAGATGTACTTAACTTTGTTAAGACCAATTGTCCTTTCTGGAGCAGAAACATGGTTACTTAAAAAAACTGAGGAATTAAGGATGGCAGTGTTTGAAAGAAAAGTACTTAAGAAAATGTATAAAGCACACTTTGATGACTAGACAAATTAATGGAAGAAACTACACAACAATGAACTGCAATCCCTTTTTCAGCGATCAAATATTATACTGGAAGAGATTAAAAAATGAGACTAATTTGGGCAGAACATGCCTGGAGGAAACAGTCACTGATAAAAAAAAAAAGAGAAAAACCCAGCAAGGAGGCAACCTCTTGGAAAACCATGTTTAATATGAGAAGATTGCGTAAAATAATTACTGAAACAGTGGAACCGAATGGTTATTGGCAGGATCTAGCAGATGAGATAAACAGCAGTATGTTTATTTAGAGGTACGGTTTTGATTGACCAAAATAAAAGAAGAAAAAGAACTGTTACCAAGACTAATATCCGTTAATAATTAATAGAAGAGCTTATTCAGAGAGATACTAATTACACATGTAATTTAATCACAGAATCTAAAAATCTTTTATAGAATTTATATAAATTCTATTAGTATTAAAATTTGTAAAATAATTATATGCATATAACATTGAATAGATGTTCATAAATATAACTATGATTTATAGTTTATTTTTTTTAAAAGTTTATCAAAATCAAATTAATATGCATTAGAAAATGTAATACTTCTAAATTATAACACTTTAAGATTAATTAGCCTCAAATATTTTTCTTGTGAACAATTTTTCTTAAGACAAATTAAATTTAAACAGAAAGTAAGGTTTAAAAATTAATCAATTTGTAATAAAATACTTAATTTTATTTGGTTGTTAAATAAACATTCAAAATATAAAAGAACTTGTCAGCTAGATCAATGTTCTACCATAATAGAAAATGCTTGTTATTTTTTTTTATTTTTGTAAAATAAATTAACGTTATAATATTATTAGTGTAATATTACTTAATTCACTTTGTGCAACTTATGACTAGACGGTTACTCTGAAGAAGATGATATATTCCACACACTTAAAGAACACCTTGTCCTGGTTATCAGGCCATTATACTCAGGTGGAATGGTTCTCTTAATGCTGGAGAACTCATTCAACTAGGCTGTGATTACCTGTTTTGCTACAAATGTGATAGCCATGAAGGATGGGGAACATGAGAGACAATCTCAGCAAAAGATAGTTCCTTCAAGGTAGACGAAAAGGAAAGTAGTGCAGAAGAGGTCTCTAACCGATGCAAGTCCTGCTGGTTTTCAGTCAAGGGGTTCCAACCACTGAGGTTGTTACATTAATTTTAAAAGAGGTCAATAACAGGGACTGTTCAATTCTAAACCAAATTAGTCTATGAGGGGATGACTATAAAAGATTATCCTACAGTTGTCCCAAATAAATGTTGTTTTAATTAATGATGGAGACCCTCCACTTGAAGAACTGCATAACGGCATTTCCAGGTAGCTGTTGTTAAATATTACTGATTTTTCAGAGGTAAAAAAAAGGTTTAATGGTTAAAATTATACTATTATTCCTCATTTATTAAAGATGACAGCTGTTAATCACTGAAATCTAGAGTTATTATCCACTTAGCATCTAATCAATGCACTACAGCGGCGGATTGGCCTGCCGGGATACTGGGAAAGTTCTCGGTGGGCAGGTAGTCATATTATAACATTGGGCCAATGTATTTGGATAAAAAATTATTTTATAAAAACAATGTATTTAAGTATATTTTATTTAAATGTAAGATTGTGGTGAAAACCTAGTGTAAACTTGATGAAAACAATTCTACAAACATTTAATCAATGAACAAAGGAGGCTTTTATGGAAAATTATCATTATTGGATGGTAGGCCAGTCATACGGTTATTTCCTGGGCCGAAAAGTTTAGCCAATTCGTCGCTGATGCACTATACTTGTTTTTTAACATAATAAATATATTTACCCATTATTATGGATTCACTTAAAATATTAAAAATGTATCCAAAATAAATTAATTTTGACATAGGTGGTTCTAATGGTAAATTTGCCATTACTTTCCCCATATAAGTAATATCACCATCTGTAGTTGATATTATTCCATTTACTGTAGGCAATAGAGCTCCAACCTAAATAAAATTACAAAGAAATAAAATCTACAATAGATTTTAAAGTTACTCATTTAAATACATAAACTTAAGAAATTATTTAAACCTGTTTAATAAAGTACTTTAATATAAATAATAAATATTAATATTAAATAAAACTTAATAAAAATAATATTAAATAAAACTTTAATAATAATAAAAGTTCACCTGTTTAAGAGTAACTACTGTAAGAGCAATGTTTTTTAAACTTGGAGGTTCTAAGGCATTTGCAAGAAGTTGTTTTGGGGTTCCCATATCCAATATTTTAGACATTAATACAATACGACTAAGTGAACAACGACACATTTCTGATACTTCATCAACAATAAAATCCTAAAAATAAAGTTAATAGTTATAATTTTAACCTCATAAAAACATTTAAAGAACACTTACTGAAAACATACTCTCAGGGACAAGTCTATAAACCCTACCATTATTAACTCGCCCCACTCTTCCAGCCCTTTGTTCACAATTACTTTTTGATGCCCAAGTCATAATCAACATTGAATAATTTGATTTTAACTCATTTTTAATTTGTTTCATTAAACAAAAGTCTATGACTAAATGTACAAAAACAATAAAATAACAAATTAAAAACATTTTTTTTTTTTTTTTTACATGTACTAAAAATTACCATATTCAATATCAGGAACGGTAATTGAACTCTCTGCAATATTTGTAGACAAAATTATTTTACGATAATTTAAAGGTGGCTGTTCAAAAACACGATCTTGTTCTTCATTAGTGATTGATGAATGTAATGGTATCAGTGTCCATTTATGATTCCTGAAATATATCAATTTAAGAAACAAATTCAAAAAATAATTACAAAAAATTCTTACTCTGAAACCATTACATTTTCCATAAGTCTATGCATTTCTTCAATTTCAAAAATACCAGGCAAAAACACCAACACCGATGGTTTTATAATCGAGTTACCTGATTCCAATGTATCAAATGCTTTCACCAATTCTATAGCTGTCTTATATCCTGTACTTTCAATTTGAGGTTTATGAAATTCCATTCTTCGGGCCTAATATAAGCAAATACTAATTAGATGAACAATAATGTTAATATATTTATATAACCAACGTTAAAATATTTAAAAAAATATTGAAATCTTAATAAACATAAATAATTTAGAATGAATATTTATTATAATTAATTTTAAGAGTTTGTAAAAAACAAATATACTCACAGAGGGTACAATATCAAACAAGTCATCCAAATAGTATTTATGAATAAAGAAGTTCTTTTTATCACCAACTTTAATTTCACATGCAGGAACAAAAACATTATGAGGAGGTCCATAATAATCGCTAAAATAATCACCTAATTTATCTGTATTGGCTGTTGCAGACATCAAAATTACCTAAATGTTTATTAAGATACATTAATAATGAAGCTAAACAAGTATAAAAATGGTTTTTTAATAAATAATTTTCTATACAACTGTAATAATAGATAAATATCTAATTTTAGATAATTTAATTTTCACAGAACACTTAATAGCTATAAAAATTATATATATTTCTAATTTAATATATAATAAGACTTACACGTGTTGACTGAGAATTAGTTTTTATTAACTTTTTAATAACTAATAATAAAAAATCCATTTCAAGTGTTCTTTCATGAACTTCATCTAAAATAATATGAGTGAATTCAGAAAGACTTTTGGCTTTGATAATTTTTTGTAGTAAAATTCCTGTAGTGCAGTATAAAATTTTTACAGTATGGGGATCAAAATCTTTTTTACGACCAACTTGATAACCAACTAAAAGTCCATTTTTCCAGCTACGTTCTTTATTCACTTGTTTAGATACTGATATTGCTGCTATACGCCTAGGTTGGGTGACGATAATATTACAGTTCTTCTTTCTACTCATACAGTCATCTAAAATATACTGAGGAACTTGAGTACTTTTACCACATCCCGTTGGACCAGTAATCAAAACAACCGAATTAGCATTAACTGTCTGAACAATCTATAAATAATATAAATAAAACATATATTAGAATAAAGTATTTAATGACAACAATGATTACAATCAGGGCTAGAAATTTAATTCACTCAATATGTGTTAAATGTGCATTAAAATCAAGAAAAATATATTTTTAAATATGCACTGAAAATTTTTTTTATTAAAAAAGCAAATATTTAAATTATTAATCAAAAATTCTTTACTTATATAGATATAAATAAAGAATAAATAACCTAGTTGTTTCCTCGCCTGAAAAAAAGGAAATATTGGACAAATAATATAATAATTTATAAATGATCTTTTGGGCTAAAGATATTTAAACTCTTAAATTATTTATATTTATAATTTCTTGTTAATAATAGTTCTAATTTGACTTTTTAAATTACTAAATTTGACTGAATTATCTTGAATGATTTGTATTGCTTCTAATAAAGCTATGCCTTAATTTTGAAGACTGGTTATAGCCACAAGAAGAAATTCAAAGTTTAATTTTATAAAAGTAAATTTATTTCTGATCTGTGGAACTTTAAAAATTAGTGAAAAAAAGCATACAAATGCATTAAATTCATAACCCTAATTATAAAACACAGCAAAATCAATAAAATCTTTTACAGTATACAAAACAAACCATTTTTTAACAACAAAAAATAGTTTGGTATTAACAGATTAAAATAAAAAAATTAATTTAAGAAAACCTTAGAATATTTACTGTTATTTTTATATGGTTTCCTTTAAATCAAACATTTATAAAGCTGGTAAAGTACTATTATAACCTATATCAATAAATTTTTCAGACAGGTAAATAATTTACTTAGTAGTACTCCAGACTAATAGAACTTCATAATAAACTATATTAACCAAGACTCAAAATATTGAAGTTAAAAAAGAAAGAATCAAAATGCAGTAGTAATAAAAAAAGGTATAAAAAAAGAATTTTAAGTAACCAATTCTATTAAATTTTTAAAAATAGTTATAAATATCAAACAAAAATTAATTAGTAGTTAAGTTTTTTTTTTTATTAATATGGTTTTTTTTTTATACCTATGAAATAATCTTCATAAAATAAAAAAATAATTAAACTATCTAATAATAAAAGGTAATAATTTTTAATAAAATCGTTTAAATTAAATATAGATTATTAGTAAATTTATAACCTGGAGAATAAAAAAAAAAAAAATTTAAACAATGAATCTCTACGAAAAAAATATTTTACATATCAGATTCTAGCGAAACAAGAAATTAATGAAATTTATTTTTTTCACTCAATTTTGATTAGAAAGATGACTCTGTTCAACAATTTTATTACTGATAAAAGTTAAAAAATTTTTTATAGAATAATGATTTTGAACCAAATTAATTTTGTTTTTTTCATTACAACTCAATAAGATAAATAGTTTTAGATTTGAAATTTTCTTTGAATTTTAATATTGCTGTTTTATGAAGATAGTATTAATTTCAGAATACTTTGATGAATGTTTATTGATATTTGAAATTTTTTTTTGTTTTCTTTAATAGGTTTTTTTTTAATATAAATATATATTACATTTTTTTTATGATTATAAATTGCTAAACTATTAGAAATATCTGATGGATCTTTGAATTTATAATGTTCAAAAAGCTTAATTTGATCAGTGCTTAAATCTTGAAGATCTTCTATTGAACCAGCATAAGTAATGCTCTCGACACAACTCATATTTGAACCAGGTTCACCCATTATCTAGAAATAATAAAATAGTATATAGTAATAGTATATAATAAAACTTCAAAATAAGTACTATTTATAAATTGATAATATACTCCTAGTTACTAGATTTACAAGATTAGTAGAATTTCCTACCTATTTTTAAAATAGTACTTATGCTGTTAATATAGCAAATATAGAAAACAGTTAATATAAAGGTACTCCACACTTTTCTTGTTTCATGAAATTTTGTGAATAGTATGACAAGTGTTGGATCTGGGGAAAAAGGGAGCAAGCGAGTAAGCTTGCCCCAGAGCGCTGTTGGTATAAGGACACTCTTAAGTTATTGAAAAATAAAAAAAGTCATGAACACACCCTAAACTTTCACCTTCGTAAGAGCACTGCATTTTTATTAGCTCTGGGCATCAAATTTCCTAGATCCTACAAAAAGAATTATTTTTTTCAAGATGTTTCGCAACCAAGACAGTAAACTGATAAGATCAATAGATAAAAAAAATGATACCATGTTGTTTTGTATGTTTTCTAAACTATTTTTGTATTTTTTTAATAATAAATCAAATTTAATAGTAAATATATACTATGGATGTAATGTCTCATTACTAAATGTTATGATATTACTCCAAGCGAGCGAATCCCTATAGGGATTAAACACCTGATGGAAGGCAGCAGTATCCATCAGTACTGAAGCAAGACGAAAGAAGAATCTTCTAGTACTGCTCGTTATCAGACTATTCTAGGCGAAACTTGAAACAAGTTTGATGGCTAGAATACTGCGATGAGGAAAGTGAAGGGAAACTACCTCATAATACTCCTATGCTAAAGTGATGAAAATAGACAAGAAGAGGAATATAAATACAGACAATGGGAATCGAAACCCGGAATCCGGCAGGGGAAGGAGGAGCAGGGCTTCCCAGGTCGTCATCCAGCGAAAACCAGGCCACATAGTTAATAAAAAAATCCTACTAGAATAGGTACTTGGAACGTAAGAACTCTTTTGAATCCAGGAAGACTAGAAGAGTTGAAACAACAGATGAGAGAAAAACAGTTAGATATTTTAGGAGTATGCGAAACAAGATGGGGTGACAATGACGATTTCTGGAGCGATGACTTTAGAATAATACATAGCAGAAGAAAACAAGGAAAAACGGAGTGGCATTGTTGTTAAACAAAAATTATGGAACATGCATTGAAAATAGTTATCACATAAATGATAGAATACTTATGGTTAGAATTAAAACAGCTCCAGTAAATTCGATCACAATACAGGTATACTTCCCAACATCTAATAGTGACGAAGAAGAAATAGAACAAATTTATAACATTCTAGAAGAGCTTATAGAATGCATACATCATAAAAACAACCTAATTATAATGGGAAATTTTAACGCTGTGGTTGGGAATGTAGCTGATAGTGATGCGGTAGGAAAATATGGATTAGAAACAAGGAATGAAAGAGGGAGCAGACTAGTTAATTTCTGTAAACAAAATAGCTTTGTAATCACAAATACATTTTTTGAGGTACCATTAAGAAGGAGTTACACATGGACAGCCCAATAATAAATTACCCAAATAGGGAACGAAATAAATATTTTATAAATTAATTTTAATAACACGGATTAGAAAATATAATGACGGATATTTCAAAAAGTCTAGCAGAAATAGATGCATCGATAATTTGAAAACAATGTAAAACAATTGTATAAACTTTCCATACATATCAATGATGCACTACAAAAAGTGTAATACAAAAAGCGCATAATGTGGAGCAACCTTTAATTTTATGTTTTGAAAACATTTAATTCATAATTATCAATAACTATAACAAGAAAAATATAACAGTAACACTGGTGATAAATTATAATTATCATATTAAATTATAGATTTACTACCTCATTGTTCTCTTCGACTTTTCCATCTAATTTGTTTAAACCATCATTTACATAATCTCTACCATTGTTGTCATCGTTGTCTACAAAATTGTGACCTGGCTGCTCTGAATTTATAAAATTTATATCAGATTTTGAAATAGTGCTTGGTATTTTAGATCCTGGTAATATTTTCTTTTTGATTTTTCCTTGAGCAATTAGTTCCATCATTGTGATAGCCCCTATTTAATAAATTAATAAATATAATTCAATAAATATTCTTGCATATTTAATATATATATATATATATATATATATATATAATCCAATGATCTCCCTTCTCTAACAGTTTGCATAATATTAATCTCACTGAGTATGTGAAATCATAGGAATCTTATGATTGAAAAATGTAATAAAAAATCATTCTAAATCAATATTTATTTATAACAAATATTTTTAACTTTTGAACTTAAAATTAAATAACCTTAATTTAAATTAAGACTTTCATTTTTATTTTTTTATAAACTAAAGAATATACAAAAAAAAAAAAAATCTTAACACGACAGCCTTTTATTGTACATTATAATGTAAACACTCTCAAACATACTTTTTTTGGTGGACATTATATACATTTGGATTCAATATATTGTTGCACTTACAATTTATTTTATAACTATAGATTTTTATCAAAACTTAATTTTCTATTTTTTTTTTTCCTTAGAAAAGATTTTAATTATGTATAAGCAATTCTTGAAATTTATGATAAGATGAATTTATATATGAATTTGATATTTAAAATACAAAAATAATAATTGACTTCTATAACCAGACAAATCATGCACCTATTATTGTAAATATGTTTAATTATAAGTTAATATAGTAATATGTACTTTGAATATATTTAGAATAATTTTTCGACTAAGTAAAATTAGTGTTAATGGAATAACAGAAATCAGAATGTTAATAATGGTCATCATTTAAAGCAGTAAAAGGATACATTGAATAAATATATTTTACTAATAGCAGTAAATAATGATCATAGTTTCCATTACATAATTATTTAAGGAACATGCTGAATTTTAGTTGAATTTTATTTTGAAAGTGAAACTAGAAGTAGGTTATGACCATGTTATAACCTAAAAAATCTTATTAAAATTTTAACCGATAGAAATGATAAAACTAAATTAAAGAAAAATATAAGAAAAGATTATTCAATATTTTAATATGCAAAAAATGAAGGAAGAATATTGCAAGTTCAACAAAGAAAATAAAATATTACAAAATGGGGGGCTATATTTTAGAACGAGGGTCTAGATTAGAACTTTGTATGTTTATTCATAAGTTCAGGACATATTATGTCTAGGAACCTAAGAAAATGTATAGTTTTGATGTATTATAATATAACTTGCAGTTTTCAATAAAAATTAAATTACTTTAATTTTATATGTCCTTTTATTTATAATTAAATATTTGAACAAAAATATATTCATAAACCTAAATTTACATATTTTTTAGTTTTAAGTACATATAAATTCGCAACCTATTAATAAGTAATGATATTTTTCTACTATAATAGATAACCAAAAAGAGTATAAATTTAAAATATTTTATGCTCAAGTCAAAAATAAAATAAGAGAGCTCAAAATTGATTTGATGGATATGAACAATTATTTTATTTATTATAGGTATAATTAGTAATCTAAAGGAAAAATAATTATTTAAATATTTAACACTGGTACTATAATAAGTTAATAGCATATGTCACGTGAAGAATAGTTGTTAATTTGATACTTACGTTCCTGGACACAGAATACAATAGAAAATATTTAATATTACAATAACATATAGTTCGGCTAAGAAATTGTCAATATTCAAACGATAGTCAGTTGCTCAAGTTTACAAGGCATGCGCAGAGAAAATACACATGATAATAACTTATTGAATATAAAAAATGTAGAAAATCTACTCATGATAAATTATCATGAATCTATTGTTGCATTCATAGAGCCTACATTAAGTTTAAGGTCTATGGTTGTTTACCACAGTGGAATCAGTGTGACCAACATGATAGTATTAAATTGTTAGTTATTAAATTTGTTAATTTGTTATCCATGGCTCCACGGTAGAGATTTAAATTACGAACAACTTAAGCTATTTCAAAAAAAACTGTCAACTGTAAATTATTATAATTACATAATTAATGATGAGCGCACTTTTTCATTTGCACCATCATATTTAGCGTTGAAAACTACATAAAATCCAAAAAAAAAAAATTGCAAAATTTAGGGTGCCCTATAAAGTAAAAAAAAAAGTACTAAAAAGTTTTGTAATTATGAAATTAGGTATATTTACGTAATACATTAGCAATTCTTAAACTTTTTTTTTCGCGTACCACTTGAGTATATTATCAATCAGCCACGTACCATTAATGATTAAAAATAGAACCATAAAAATTTCACTGAGTTAAATATATTTATTTTAAATAAAAAGGCAGTAAAATACTAAAATAAAAATATTATTTATTTATTATTACAAATTCATTAGTGTTTTTAAATTAATATATGAGATAAATATTGAATTTTTAATTTCCGTTCAGCACCACACAGCCTTTCGCGTATCATTAGTAGTACGCGTACCACAGTTTGAGAACCACTACATTACATAATTTTTATTTATTTATTTATTTTTTATGTATTCTATGTAGTAGTTCATGCATTATAGTATATGATTTTAAGTAATCACTCTATAAATGGAAATAATCGATTTCGATTAGATTCGAATAGATAAAAGTCACTTCATTTAGGCACAGAAATATATAATATAGGTAGGAATAGGGGCGTGATTATTGGGGGAGGGGGAAGTGGCGATCGCCCCCTCTGAATCCGTATTTAAGTCGACGACTTTGAATATAATTACAATAATAATAATAATAATGATTGTTTAAATACAATCAAATAATCGATATATTCGATTGTTCCCATTACTAGTGATAACGATTCGCGCAATCATAGACGCTTCTCCACTTCTATTTTGGATTTACATGTTTCTGATTTTCTAACGTATAAACTTCATCTTATCACCTTATCCAGTTGCTGAATTTTGTTTATTTTAGTTTTACACACAATTTTGAATACTCTAAGTATTATAAAGTGATAATTTTACTACGTTAAAGTATATGTCGAACAATGTACCTTAGATGATTGTTAATTATGCTTATTAGTAATATTATAATATGAAATACGTATTAGAAATTAATAATCACACGCAACATCATGAATGAAGATAAAACTGGCGACAATGCTAGACCTTACAAACTATAAGTATTTTCTAATAAAATTTTAGTTCTTGTTTTTTAAGAAATCGTTTTTTTATTTCCATTTCTTAGCCCAACCGACAATTTAATGATTGAAAATAAAATTAATTATATTTAAACGGGCTTGATTTATTTCTTTTTAAACCTTATTTGATTGAACTTTAAACTCGTGGGGATTGATATTAAATAATTTAAAAGCCTACTCTGTAGCTAAAAGTCCTTGATAAATTAGTAATCATGTCTGGTTTATTGAAATTTATTAAAAACAAACAGTATTACTGGTATTATAATCTATAATTTTATTTATATGTTATATTTGAAGAATATATATAATTTTATTTGTAATCTATCTTACTGTGAATTGCTACTTTATTACCTTTTTTATGTATACAAATGTAGATTTTACATATTTATTACTTTGTGATATTTTGTTCAAAGTTCAACAACTGCTATATAGCAGAAATAATTAAATTTTGACTATACAAAGCAAATTGTATTTCATTTATTTATATTCATTATCCTTCAATTAAAACTTAAATACCATTTAAATATGTAGTTATTCAGTGAACTAACTTATTATTTAATTGAGCTTTATAAAAATAATCATTGAGATATAATTGCAACAAACACTGAAAGCTCTTAATGCAAAATATATGTATATAATTTGAGCTATTTTAAAAACCTTTAATTTATTCTTTAATTAATAATATAATTTAATATAAAAATGTTTTACTATTTTACAGCCCATCAAGTTGTAAGCTTAACAGGCATTAGTTTTCAGCGTAGAAATATATTGGTGAATAAAAAAATATTTAGTTGTCAATAAGTTAAACATGATATTAAAATACATGTATTTATATATTGTTTCAGGGAATGGTAGAATTGACAATTATATCATTAAAAAATAATCTCAAATTTATAAAACTAAATGCAAAACAATGTCGTATATATTGTGTTACTGTTAATGAAAATATTGAAGTTCCTTTTCAATATTTTGATCCATTTGTTGATATTACTCAAGATAAAAATGAAGAGTAAGAGTAATTATTTATCACTTAGTAATAATTTAACTTGCAACAATTTATCATTTTAGACCTACATTAAGTGCATTTTCTACTTGTCATTACAATGCTGCTCAAATAACTGACCCTGATAATAACAATGGAGAATTAGTCATTAGTCTTCCTAATGAAGTATCAAATTCTATAACTGATGGAACTACTGTTAAAATAAGTGTTGAATATTCCTTAGAACAGCCTAGTGGTGGTGTCCATTTTGTTATTCCTGAGGGAGATGGTTCTTTAGTAGAGGTATAAATTTAAATTATCTTACAAGTACTTGTGCAATATTGCACTTTTGCACCAAAACATAATTCTGCCAATTATCTGATTTTACAATTTATTATATCTTAAAGAATTAAAATATCACAATATTTAACAATTTTAATAGAATAATTAGATAATAAAATAATTTTATATTATTTAATATTTACTTAATCTTATTTTGTAGATATACGTTCCAAAGATTTTTGGTTTTAAATCTATTGTATTTATGATTTATTAAATTATTAAATAGCGAAGAAATGCTTATAATATATTTTTTTAACATTTAAATTTTATAATTCAATTTTTAATGTATAAAATATATACTATAAAATATACTAATACTTCTATGATTAATTAATCTAATTAATAAGTTTTTAAGCTGTACTAAACTATGTTACAGCTTACATCATATTTTATTTAATAAATTATGTTTACCATTTTTATAATATTAAAAAAAATATATTTATAAAATAATTATTTTGACTCTTAGGGAAGGCTGGACAGTTAAACTAGTTATTAACAATGTATTATTATATAGTTCTTACAATTAAAAATAAATTAAAAACTAAGAAAAGTTCATATCTAGAGTATTATTGTATAATATGTGCAAAAATGACCAAAGTCTTCAATTAATCATCATCTGTTATAAAATACTCATTATGTTATGAAACAACCTCACATTAGTTTTTATTTGATTTTTTTATATTATTATTTATTTATACAAGCATAAGTATAAGATAAGACAATTTCCAGTAAATAAAGTATAAGTAAAATCTAAAATTTTATTTTAAAATATTATTTATATTTATCTTTAGAGACGAGCTCACATGTTTACTATGTGTTTTGAAAATTCTTCCCGATTGTGGTTTCCTTGTGTCGATAGTTATGCAGAACCATGTACATGGGACTTAGAATTTACAGTGGATGAAAATATGACTGCCGTATCTTGTGGAGATTTAATTGAAGTTGTTGCTGCTCCTGATTTAAGGCGTAAAACATATTATTATAATTTATCAATGCCTACTAGTGCACCAAATATAGCTCTAGCAGTAGGGTAATTATTTCAAGTATATTTGATTCTAAAATCTCTTAAAAATATATATTTATATATTTTAGACCTTTCGAAATTTATGTGGACCCAACTATGCATATAATTACTCACTTTTGTTTACCGGGCCTTTTGGAGCTTTTGCCTACAGCTGCTAAGTACACTCATGAAGCATTAGAATTTTATGAAGATACCTTATCCAATGGTTATCCTTATAGTTGTTATAAACAAGTATTTGTTGATGAAACTCCTACAGATTATGCTTCATATGCATCATTGGGCATTATGAGGTAAAATATTTATAGTTCTATTCTTATTTATTTAACTAATCATAAACATTTTACAGTGTTAACCTTTTACATCCAAAACAAATTATTGATCAAGTTTATATTTCAAAAAAAATTTTGGCTCAAGTTATGGCTGAACAATTTTTTGGTTGTTTCATTTCAACTCAAAATTGGTCAGATTGGTGGCTTACTTGTGGCATAGCACTTTATATGTCTGGTCTCTTTGCAAAAAAATGTTTTGGAAATAACTCTTATCGAGAATGGATTCATAATGTATATATAGCAATCATATTTTTATAGTCACTAAAATTAAAATTATTTTTTAGGAATTAACTAGCTTAGTACGATATGAAGAAGAAATTGGACCTATAGTATTAGATCCTACACAACAACCAGCTCCAATAAGTAGTGTTAGCCCTGGAGGATCTTCTAATCCTGGATTTACTTTATCTTTTAATAATGTGCAAAACACTTATGAAACTTCAAATTTTTATTTTTCTACTCGTAGTTTACACACAATATCACCTCGTTATTTTCATTTCATGACGAAAAAAGCACATCTTGTTATAAGAATGTTAGAAAATCGTATTGGGTATTCATTATTATTACAGGTAATTTATGCAATTAATTATTTATTAATAACTGAAACACCATATTCTCAAAATATTACCAATAGATTTATGGTTGAACTTGCTTATCAATGTTTTTTTTATGAGAAGTAGATGATACTAATTTTAAGGTTTTTTGATTCCACAAAACTGACCACTTTCATACCATTAGACAAAAAGTGCCAATTTATGGTTGGTCTAAAAAATTATTCTTTAAAAACAATTAAAATATTTTCTTTAAAGAAAATATTTATATATTTTTCTATATTTTCTGACGAGGCATTACAATATATTGTACTCAATACACATTTTTATCCAACTTTTCACAAATACTATAGATGCTCATTCACTAGTAACAATATTTTAGTATGTGAGATTTTCTTCATTTAATCTGGAGTACTAGTTTACCTCAACCAATTAAAATTGTAACGTATTATTTTATTAAGAACTTCATTATTTGTATTGATTTTTAAATATCCATTTTTCATATAAATCCTGTATTATGTTTTTTTATTATTGTTATTAAATTTTGTTCTTTATTTATAGGTTTTGAACAAGCATTTATCTTTAGCAAGTAACGCATCTCAAAATCCTATGAATTCTGGTTTATGGGGTCACATGTTAATCAGTACTAACATATTTAATAAAACTATTTTTACTGTATCAGGCATAGATATGTCTGTATTCATTGATCAGTGGGTTCGGACTGGTGGTCATGCTAAATTTACTTGTACTTTTGTATTTAACAGAAAAAGGTTTGATTAACAATAATATAAATAAAATATAAATAATTAGTGATACATACCAAATTTGTTACATAGAAATACATTGGAACTGGAAATTAAACAAGATGCTGTTTCTCAAAGGGGTATTCGAAAATATGTTGGTCCATTGTTGGTCAGTATTCAAGAATTAGATGGTCCATTTAAGCATACATTACAAGTTGAAGGTAATGTGGCTCGAGCAGATATCACGTGTCATTCAAAAAGTAGACGAAATAAGAAGAAAAAAATTCCATTGTGTACTGGAGATGAAGTGGATATTGATCTAAATGCTATGGAGTAAGTTTAAATGAATATATATATATATATCTAATTAATTTTACAAAATAGCTGAGAACATTAACATGTTTTAATTCTATAGACTCTGGTGTACATAAACCTAGGTATTTCAAGTAAATATTTTTTTTATTTGATAAATATTACAACAGTGTTGTAATCAAATTTTGTATTGAGATTGACCTAATTTTTTTATGTTTAGAAACCATTTCAATGGTTAAATATAATATTCAATTTTATTCCAGCACTGCCAAATACTTATTGATTTCAATATTTTAGTTATAAGGTACCGTTTTGAGTGGAAAAAAGTGTTAGTCACCTTAATGAGTTACAAGATAAAGAATATTTTTACCTTAATATTTGAAATATAATAATTTTAGCAACTAATAATTAAAGAATTTTATATTAGTAATTAAGACAATATCTTAATATAAGTTATCTTTTAATTTTATTCTGATTTTCTTATAATTATTAAAGTAATCTCCCCTTCATTGGCTTTAATAAACTATAAATAAGTGATAATGTTTATTAAATACTAAAACTTTGATTATACTAAATTTTAGTAATGATTCTCCGGTATTATGGATTCGATTGGATCCTGAAATGACTATTTTACGCAGTTGTATTATAGAACAACCTGAGTATCAATGGAATTATCAACTACGACATGAAAAAGATGTAACCGCTCAGATGGAAGCAGTAATAGCTCTTGATAAATTTCCTACAATATCTACACGTAATGCTTTATGTGATATTATTGAAAATGAACAAGTATATATTCATGTGCGTTGTAAAGCAGCTCATTGTTTAACAAAAGTATGTAACTGCAGGAATAATTATCATAACAATAATTATAACATGTTTGTTCATTCTGATTATAGATTGCAAATGCAATGGTAACTAATTGGACAGGTCCTCCAGCAATGTTAGGGACGTTTAAAAAAATGTTTGGATCATTTTCATGTCCTCATATTATTAAACAAAATAATTTCTCAAACCTACAACATTACTATCTTCAAAAGGTAATACAAATTAATGTTAAATAACTGTATCTAATTTTAAACTTATTATTTCAGACTATTCCAATCGCTATGGCTGGTTTAAGAAATTCACATGGAATCTGCCCTCCTGAAATATTAAAATTCATTTTAGATTTATTTAAGTACAATGATAATAGTAAAAATAGATATTCTGATAATTACTATAGAGCTTCTTTAATTGATGCTCTTGGTGCGACTATTACACCAGTAATATCTTTAATGCAAAAAGCGTAAGTATTGCCAACTATTCAAATATTTATTATTTAATTTATTAATTCAGTTATTTAATTAAAAATTTAAATTATATTTCAGATGTGATATTACTGCAGATTCACTTTCAGGAGATTCAAAACTAATACTTGAAGAAATAACGCAACATTTAAATTTAGAAAAACGTTTGCAGACTTATAAATATCCAATATCAATAGCCTGTTTAAAAGCAATCAGAAAGTTACAAAAATTTGGTCATTTACCAAATAACCCAAATATATTTCGTTCTTATTCGTTATATGGCAATTTTATTGGTTTGAATTGATTGAATGTTTAATATTTTTGGTCATTATATAATTTATTATTTTTTAGACGTAAGGTTGTGTGCTTTAGAAGCATTAGTTGATTTCACTTGTCTAGATGGACGTTGGGACGATTTAAAATATCTTATTGATATAGCAGACAGTGATCCTGATCCAAAAGTTAGGAATGAACTTGTTCGTATGCTATGTAAAAATCCACCATTTACTCCTAAAAAACCAAATAATCGATTAAATAATGAATACTTGTCTCATCATTTATGGAAACTTATTAAGTAAAGATTACAGTTATTTTATTAAATATAAGTTTACGCTTTGTATATTCAACCTCTATGGTCTGCAGTTTCTCATCCATAAAAAAAAACATAAATTTAACTTACTAAATCATTCTTTTTGATTTATTAATTTGTATATCTTACCTCATCACTAGTTATACAAACTTAGTCTCAAAAAAAAAAAAAGATATATATCTCATTCTTTGTATCACAATAATCTCTTTCTATATGATTCTTATTACTTGGCTTTCCATCTCAGTTTAATATAGAACACTTGATATTTTCTGTTTTCAGTCATTTAATTCTTGAAATGTTTATTTTCATTTCTTCATATCCAATTTGTTTTCTAGTCTTAGTTTCCTTTGAATTTGATATTTGATATTAACTAGCTATTTATTAATTTTTCTTATTGTATAACCTAACAATTTCCAGATATAAAATCTTCAAAAATAAAATCCCTTGAAATTCCTATATATATATATATCGTAGGCATATAATCTAATTATACTGACTATAGAGTATACAATATACTTGTACTATCATCTATGTCTATCATATCTAATTAGTTATTACCTGTATATATTTATGATTTCATTTTTAAAACAATAGTAATAATGAACATGAAATTAAACATATTATTTCATATACCAACGTGTTTTACATATTAATAAATAATACATTGCTTTTTTATGAATAAAATAGCAATAAATAACTGATAGAAAATATAATTAAAATTTTAAAATAATACAAAATGTTTTTTTATTATTTGCCTGACACGAAATAGGCATTTAATCATATTTCTAGTAATTTAATTAAATGACTAGGCATTTAACTTTATTTGATTTGACTATATGCCTAAGACATATATATATATATATATTAGGGTAGTCCTTAGCTATAGAGGTCAATTTTTTTTTCTTATATTTAGTTATGATGGACCCCTAAATTTTGTTCTTCCGTATAAAAAAATAATTATTGTATAGGTCGAGTGCGATACTTCAACCCCTTCCCGTCCCCCAAAAGGGTTAAAGGTCAATAAAAATTGGTGAATTTTGAATTTTTTGAATATGTTTATTTTATTTTAACAGTTATGCAAAATTCATAAGAATCTTTATTGTAGCAATCAATGTTTTCTAAAAAAAAAGTATTATGATGAATTGATGTAAAGTAAGTGGTTTTTCGTAAAATTAAAAAACCCACCAAAAATTTTTTTTGGGAAATTGTTCATATTTTAGATTCTTATCTGTATTTTTTAAAAATATAAAACCGCTTACATATTTTAAATAAATACCATTATAACACATAATTTTTATGTTAAAAATGGTTTTTAAATTTATTATTGGTGGTATAATATACATTAACTTTATACTATAATGTTGAAAATAAAAGCCAAGAGTCATTTCTATAAATTGTTTCAAAGTTTTTCTATTGTAGTTTGGGTATTTTTTTCTATAATCTTGAACTGTCTAAAAAATAACATAATTATAATTACATTTTTTTATTGAATGCTTATTAAAGATTTTTAAAAACAGAATATAAGTAATAGGTACCTGTAGCACAAATTGTTTTTGATGTTCATTTTTAGTCAATTTTTCGTTAAATTCTTCCATTAATTTAACCCCTCTTTTGGCTGTATCATTTATTACCTTCAGTGACTCAATTATTTCATTTCCCAATTTGTAATTTTCATTATGACACCGATTTTTCAGATGAATTTTTAAAAATTCTTTTGAAATATGAAATCTGTCAGTTTTTTAGAATTTTTATTCAGTAAATCCAAAGGTAAATCTTTACTAAGAAAATATGGTAAATCTTGCCCTTTAATGATGCACTTTTTTGTCATTTCAATTTCACTTTCTTCTTTGCTAAATATTTTTTGTGCCATTTTTTTTCGTACTTCATAACTCAATCTTCCATCAAAAATATAAAATGTTGTACACTTAATTTAAAGACCATAAGTCGTTAATAATTTTCTTAATTACAGTTTCTGCTACATCAATGTCATTATTTTTTTAGGAAACCAATTTTTTTAAAAAATTTATATCATCAAAAGGAGCTGTAATTGTATTTGGTGTAGAAAACCAAGTTTCACCAAACATTTTACAATGAAACAGCAAATTTGTTTTAAGGCCGTTTCTTCCCATTGCATTAGTTTAAATATTTTTCTGAAAAAAAAAATGTTTATACAATACAATGCTTTTCCCATTCATCGGGCTAGATAAAATACACCGGGTGCTCTAAAATGTAATCCTTATTGTGGAACGCTGCCTTAAAATATAATAATTAATTCAAGAAACTCTTTATAGTCGTCTCATGGTAAATCATTATTAATTTTGTTTTTTACAATCATAATAATATCATCGGTATCGTTTTTTAAAATAATGTTAACACTTTTATCTGTAATCCCAACCATAAAAGTATTTTGATTTATATTTGTCCATTCTTTTCGAAATTTTTTGAATAAAACTATATCAGGTCCATTGTTACTAATTTTGCTAATTGCTCGATATTTATTTCTGAAATATATATTTTTTGTTTAAAAATTGGTAAATAATAATTATTAATTGAAAATTGAAATTTATTAGTTCCGTAAAATTTTGTTGTTATAACGATTTTTATTAATATAAATATATTAAAGGTTTAAATATGATTTTTTTATTGATCTTTAAAAACATCAACAGCAAAGGCTATCAGTTTTTAATTTTTACAAAACTAGGGTAATTTTACATTGTGTATTTTAGATTATAATAAAAAGTATGTAAACAAATAAATATAAATTACCTGAATTCAACATATCTGAAAATTGTCACTCTCTATTTTGGGCTGCTTTTTCAATTCGGATAATTTTATTTCTTTCAGATTTTGTTTGTTTCATATCAATTCCTAATATACAGCCAGAACGTCCTTTTTTTATTGAGCAATTAAAAATGCTGCATCTTCTTTATTTTTAATTAAACTTAATGCGTTAGCTGCAGCGATGTCTAACAAATCATTTAAATTCTCATTAAATGTGATTTCCCTATTTTTGTATAATTCACTTGTTCGAGTCTTATATTTTTTTAAACTGCGTAAATTTTTGTATAATTTCTTACATTTTATGATGCAGTTTGAACGATACTGATACAGAGTAGGTATATGTGCTTTTCTCCAAAATATCAGGTGTTCATCAATAACAAGAAATGCATTTTCGTGTAAACTCAAATTAACTATTGGCATGTTAGAAAACTACAATCTCTCTTAGAGGGCAATTTTTCATTGGACCGACTAAAAATATAGGTTTTTCTGACATACTTTATTAAAATGATTAAAAACACTTAATACTAATAATATTTATACATTTTTAAGACGACACCTTTACTGAACAGTGAACCAACACGTAATAACATTGATACTTCGATAGTAATAAGACGCAAGTACAATGTACTGCCCAATACATGTATCTTTAAAACTTGTATCCCGATAAGATTATTTATGTAGAAGAACCACCTTTATCAAATCAATTAAGTACAATAAAATGTTTAAGATAATTTAATGGAAAACATCTTAAATGGTTTATATTTTTTCTACATACATTTTATTTAAATCTGAGGTTGCTTAACATAAAATACCTATTATGTTGCTACGTATAATATATAATATAATATTTTGGTTCAAACTTCCTTGATTTGAGAGTTAAGTTACAAAAATTTATATCTTATTTTGTATAAAATTTTGTATGCTATAATGTGTTGATTGACTATTTTTGTGTAATTTAACATTTAAAAAAAAAGTTAAAAAAAATTAAAAATCGAACAATCTTCTCCATACTTAAAATGGTTATTCTTGATTTTAAGAAAAACCACCAACATTACTACAATGTACCAAGATACCTTTTTTTTAGAAAACATTAATTGTTACAATAAAGATTCTAATAATTTTTGCATAACTTTAAAAATTAAGTGAATATATTCAATAAACTAAAAATTCATACTTTTTCATAAAACTAGTCTTTTTGGGGTATGTGAAGGAGTTAACTAATTACGCTCAAACTTTACCACAAATATTTTTTCAGAACAGAATAAAATTAAGGGGTCATCACAACAATATTCTTAAGTAATAAAATATGGACCACCCTAATATATATGCTAAAAACAATTATTATAATGCTTAACTAAAATAATTTTATCTATATTTTATTATATTTTACTATTATAAATTTAATTTTAAAAATTCTAATAATTGTTGTATCATACATTTTAGTTCTTTGTTATCTTATGATACAACATTGCGATGTAATTTTGTTGATCTGTACTATACTTTATTTGGGCGGCAAAAGATTTTACGATCCGAAGTTGCTGCTCTGTACAAACCAATCAAAGTGGAAGTAGAAGTAAATTGTTTAATTTTATTTCAATTATGAAATTTAAACATATTTGCATTATATGTGTATATTAGGCAAAATCATGTACTCTTCCAAATATTATTGTTGAACCAGATAATAATTCTAATTGTGACCGTGGTATTAAGAGATCTATTGATCATGATCCACAATTAGAAGTTCCAGAAATTGTCGATATCAAAGTTGAGGACGAAATTTTACAAAATGAATTTGATAATGATTTACATTATGAAAAGAAAATAAAGGTAAAGTTTAATATTATATAAAGCATAAATAACAAATATTTCTAATTCCTCACTTTATATTGTATTTTATTTATCATACATACATGGTAATTAGGCAGAAATCAAAGATGAAATCGAAGTGATAAAAGATGAAGTTAAAGATGTTAATTTAATGCATAGTAGATCTTCATTTGAAATAACTGAAAGCAAATCTAAGACGGGTTATTTCTCTGAAAATTCTGCTTCACTTCCTGGAATCATGGTATCTAATTCTTCTGGTCCAATTGGATTTGAACCGGGAATGTTTAATGTAAAACCTGAAGATCAGTCTACTAAGCCAGTAATAGTTCAAAATGAAAATAAACATCATCATCACCACCACCACCACCATCATCACCATCATAGTAAAATAGACGGAGCCAGTAATTCTGTATGTATTAAATTTAAATTTTTATTTGAAAAAAATGCGTATAATTGATTGGTTTGGTGATTGTTTTGTAGAGCAAAAAGAAAAAGAAGGACAAAAAAAAACACAAGCATAAACATAAACATAAACATGAGCATAAGCATAAACAAGATAAAATAAAAGAAAAGGCAAAAGAGGACAATACAATTATTAAAGTAAAAGAAGAAACTTTAACATCGGGAAGTTCTAGTAGTGATGATACATCAAGAGATTTGAGTATATTTATATAATTTATGTAGACCTTTTAGTTCTTTATTTTGTGCTAATTTATATATACTTTATAATTACTAAGATTCTAATTATTTTTATATAATTATATACATTTTAAAATAACTATATGAGTACAGTATTTGAATTTCTGTTATTAAAATATTTATTTTAAAGTAACAATTAAAAATTAATGGCCTGGGTATTTTTATTTATTGCAAATAAATACCATAGTATTAAAATATAACCCAATCTGTTGGTTTTTAATTTAGAGACTGTATGTTATTAAATTTAGTTACATATTATATTTTGTTAGTTCATCTTATGAATTGTAACAGTGGCGGTCAAATGATTTTGTCATGGGGGAGGATGTAACTGATTTTTTAACAAACACTATATATATAAATCTTTATTTTTAAACATGGAAATTATATTATATTAATGATATTTATATTATTAAATCTATTTTTCTGGTTTTTTTTTGCCAATTCGTCCAGTATTTCATCTACAATTATATTGACAACCTCACGATGAACAACCATAGTGGTTAAACCATTGAGACGACTCTTAAATAATATAATTACACAATTCATATAATAATATAATATATTATGTTAAGCATTAAGTATTAAATTTAAATATCATACATTTTTATAAATAAACTATAAAGGAAATGATAAAAATCTAAAAATTTTGTTTCAATTAATATTTTAGTGTTTTATGTTTAAACTGTTAATTTTATTCGAGCCTAGAGACTGTATAATAACTAATAAGTACAGTATATTTATTTTTTTAAATAGAAAATAGATGAATACCTATATTATATTATGTATAATATGGATGAATTATAAATATTTAAAAAAAGGTCATGGGGTGGATTTACCCCCCCCCCCCTGTTTGACCGCCACTGAATTGTAATAATACACAAGTCTCCTATTATAAGAGTTTACAATATTTCTCTATGATATGCTAGTTTACTATTGTCAAAGATCTATTATTAAAGATATTTAAATCATAAATACATCATAAAATCGATCTTACTAGGAATTACTGTATAGCCTATGATAAGATCTATTAAATGATAACTATGGCACAGTAATACAATGTATGAAATCAAAAATGATTAATTGCCAGCCCTGAAAACTATCATAATTTGCTAGTTCTTAGTAGGTTGCTACAAGTAGTATTCTTGTAAATTATGAATCATGTAGAATTTTTAAATGCATGCTAGGTTTAACACCTGTATAGAATTTTGAATTCGCCCTGTTTCGAATTACCAGAGCTGTGAATTTAGTACATTTAATAAGTTTTAAATATGCATTCGTTTATGCACTAAAATGAAGAAAAATGTGCTGTAAAATATGGACTGTAAAAATTCAAAAATATGCAGTAAAAATTTCGCTCAGACGTTCGATCGTGTGTAGACTGAGGGACTCCTTTACAAATTACGCTTTTTTCCAGTTCCTTTATTCCAAACGTTCAAATCCTTCCTAACATAATGCATCTTAGCCGGATGTTATGATGATACAACATCCAACACTCAGCCTATATATGCAAGTATACTACAAGGAAGCATTCTAACCCCAACCCTCTATAATATATTTAGTTCTTACATCACACATTCAAATATACTCACCACTCTACTTTCGCAGACGACACTCCCATGCTGTCTTCCAATACTAACTCTTAATTCGTTAAACAAAATACTCCAAAATCACCTGAATAAACTCCATAATTGGTTCCAATTCCGGAGAATAAAAATGAAGAAATTAATATTTAAAAACGATTAAAACATTAATCCGTTGCATTAACGGCCTTTCCCTATTTATCAATAACAATATAATTTGCGAAAAGATAACACTAAATATTTAGGCATACATCTAGACAAAAAACTAAACTTAGCTTATCACATTAAAAACCAACAAAAATAATTAAATCTACATTCTCTGAGATATCTTCTCCATTCAAATATGCCACTTAAAACAAAACTATTAATTTATAAACAAATCATACGCCCAGCCATGTCATACCGTATCCAACTATGGGAATTAGCCAAAAAATCAAATATTTCTATCCTACAATCCTTCCAATCAATTAATTTACGAATTCTGAAGCTCTCTGATATAATAGTAACCACATCCTTCACAAAGACCTAAGAATGGAAACACTTTCTGAACTTGCTTCTTGTTATTTAAAAAAATTAAACAGTCGCACTCAAAACCATGTTAACCCTTTAATATCTACTATCCATAAACCCTTTAACCCTATTAAGCCCTTAAGCCGTCTTAAAAGAAACTGAGCTAGATATTTTCTCTAATTTAGTTTTTTATGTTTTTATAAGTAGTATCAATGGACTCCTTCTTTCATATTACTCACATCTTGAATATATACTTGCACTTTAAATTTACTTTATATATTAATGTATACAGATTTTAATATTTTCTAATAAATTAAAATAAAAAATAAAATAAATCCAAAAATATGTTCTAATAATATCTCTATTTAAAAGAAGGTTTTAAAATTAATAATTAAAAATGATTTACAAAACAAAATTTTTTATTTATATATGCGAGCTCTCATATCGTCTTAATACCTTAGTTTTTCAAGACGGGTTATAGCCACAGGTAGACATTTAAAGTTTGATTTTATAAAAGTCAAATGACTTTTCATCTGTTAAATGACTTAAAAATGTTTTTGAGCACTTCTAATTAAAAGTGCTTCATCTTCATCAAAACTTTCAACAAATTGTTATAGGTTTTGATTACGAAATGGTAGATATCAGAACAATAATAATAATTATTGTATAATCAGTGTTCGATTTAGGGGGGATGCACAGGGGGGCGGAGCTCCTCTACATTTTTTTTTTTACGTATCCCAACTATATTTTTCGTTTATTAAGACGTTAAGTTCCGCTAGTATTATCACTTATCAATGTCTAGCCTATGTTAGTCAAAATTATGTTCGGTTGATTAGTGACTATGCAGTACGATTATAGATAGAATTATGTTATGCAGACGAGCAGTACGCGTCGACCTAATGACCCGCACTTAAGAAACATACAAAATATATAATTAGCTGAAAATGTATTCGAATGTGTGGTAAATATAATTCTATTTAGGCTTAGTACCTATGTAGGTACACATAAGCGTGTTTACAGGGAAGGCAGGGTGGGCACCGGCTTCTCCAGCGACGTTCTTGACCTCTGGGCTTATAATGGTGAAATCACGAATATATTTTTATTTTTTTTATTTATATGAATGAACGGGCTAGAAGCCCAATAGTACAACACAATTTATAGTAATGATAATGAATATTATAACAATTAATAGATAAACGCCAAATAATATGGCGATTATATACAAATAAAAATAAAAGCAAAAGTAAATAAGGTAAAAACAGTAGTAAGTAATAACAGATTAAGTACTAAGAAAAAAAAAAAAAAGAAAAAACTTTCTAAGAGAAACATTGGTGCTCGTTACAAATGCGCATCATACGATGAATGGGATTATTTCTACCATAGTTGGTGCTGTGGAAGGAACAACAAAAGGAGAATTAGACCTTATTAAGCGAGAGGGAACTTTAAAATTAATTAGAGAAAGGAGAGATGGAGCGTTCACACGTCCGTCAATCGGCTTATGCAAAAATACCAAGTTAGCATCAACTCTTCTATCTGTCAGGGACAAAAGTCCAAGTTTGTTCATCACTGGCCTATAATCATGTGATGGATGTGGAATTTGTAGAATAAATGACGCCGAAGAACAAAAACGCCTCTGGACCCTCTCAATACAAGAAGAGTGTGCTGCCGTAAAAGGGTCCCAAAGAACGGAAGAATATTCTAAAAGAGGCCGTACAAGGGAGCAATATAAAGCTTTGAGAGAACTAGATAGCCTAAATTATTTTGAAGCATATAAGCATATATATAGCATCTATATCCGTGGCTGAAACAATAACAATAGGTAATTTTAGGTAGAAGGTGAATTTAAATTTTAAATTTGTTGAATTTTATTATTTGTAATATTTTAATAAATTACTTGTTTAACCAAACTGTTAAATAACTGTTTATTGTGTAATAACTGTAATAAGATGTGTATAGAAGGTTGATATATAGTTGATAAAATATTTATAAAAAATAAATAAGTAGCACATTAGTTAATAGGCCTTATTTATTAGTTCATAGTTGTAATAGCATAGGAAACCAATTTTAAGATCAAGAAAATCTTTAATTTGACGGGGTGAAAAAATTCCAGGTGCTATATAATTTCCATACAACAAAAATAAGTCGCAAATATAGATAAAGATTATAGATCGCTGTAGTAAGTAAAAAATTTAAATTTTATAACTGGCCTCCCCAACCATGGAGGTCTGGACACGCCTATGTAGGTACATGAGATAATACATTTTCATAATAAAATATTATATGGTGGTTATGATAAATGACGGCTTCGTCATTTCAGGAAAAATGTAAATAGTGCCTAATATCTGGTTTATACAGATACAATTTGGTATATACATTATTCATTGTATGTTTGTCATTAATATTATCGATATTAATATTTGGAATTCAAATATTTGTGTAACTGAAAAGTGGTAGGTATTCAAAAATAAATGCAAGGTTGTATAGGAGGTGTGGGGGTTAAGCTCCCCACAGGTCTGTGTTAAATAATTGCATCCGTGGAACGCAGTTTTTAAATCATTAGCCTGAGCTCCTCTACTTTTCCTAATTTGAGCACTGGTTAACATTTGAAGAAGAAATCATCCAGTAATGGTACAATGGCATAGATTTAAGATATTTTGGTATTAAATATTTTATATTAGATTATATCCCAGTGCCAGTGTTGCTAGAATTTTCTAAAATGGATTATGGGAATAGAGTTAGTTAAAAGATTTTGAACATAAGTGTTGCCATGGTTTTAAAGCCGATTTTTAAATTTGGTAAAGTGTATTTTAGCCGTTTTTGTTATTTTTTTGAATGTGGAGTTCTGTACATGGAGTATAATTTGAAATGCACTGAGGGACGTTGGTTATTAATCATAGTATTTTATTTATGAAAACTTGAATTTTTTGTGTATATATTTTTCGGTTGAACTTTATAATTGTAAACCATACATCCATATGTTTTGAGTAAGATATTATAAATATGTATTTTTGTTTTGATAACATTTTAAACTTTTACCTATAAAAGATCAAAGTAGAGAGTCATCTGTTATGTTTTATTTTTACTTCGTGGATATGTTTTGTCCAGGTTATTTGATTGTTTAAGATCAAGCATAAATATTTAACAAAATCCGATTTTGGTATTAGTTCGTTGTTTATTTGTTCTAGGAGGGTTGGCCCTGGTGGAGTGTAAAAGTATATAGACTGACTTTTTTCAATTATTTTGACTAGCTAGTAGGAGTACTGAGGTGGTTTTGGAGGTTGCCTAAGGCTATGCCAGGATCACTATGAGTAGGATATATTGTTTTCGCTTTTAAAAATAATAAGTAAATCAAATATAACAAAATGTACGAATTTTTTACATAAGCTAGTTAAATTATTTTTAAAAAAATATTTAATCCCTCTCCCTGTTATACATTTATAAATTCTTTCATAAATTAAGTAGAAGAAATTGAATTAAGGTAGTAAATTGACTGTAATTGCCAAACCCTTCTTGTAATAGTTTTTCAACTATAATATCAAATATTTTAGAGATCCACTCCATTTTTGGGTTTCATTTACTTTGTTTTCTTAATCTAATACTTGTATCACAACAATTTTACTAATTCAAAATTAATGTAAAACATAATGACCCGACCAAACATAATATTTTGAATTCACCGCGTTCGTACAAATTTAGACTTTCCCCTGGTTAGTCAGCTGTTCGATATCAGATAAGTGTTGTGCGCATGACTCGTCTACCTTTTTCTTTTTTTTTTTTATTATTATTGTACTCTCACAGATGTTCTAATGGCTGTTTTGCATTCAATATTATTGGTCCATTACCTTGTCAAAATGTATTTGTCATAATCAAAAGTTAATTATATATTTATTCCAATAAAGTTGTTCGTACGCGTCGTGGCTTTTAAAATCGGTTTGTAAACTTCCCATCATTTTGGTTTTTTAATACCTGAGGCTTATAATTCAGTCTACAGAAGAACCTATACGGACTTGTCTTGTCTCGCTCCAGTAAGTAAGACGCAATATCATTACGAGCTTGAAGCACTAATTTCTAGACAAAGGATTGATAGGTACTCAGCATAGCTCTTAATGTTCATATTATTTAACGGTTGTCCGTATTTTAATCTTGTAATAAATATTTAGGCAATATTTAATCTCAAATAAGTATTTTATATTTAATTAAGGTTTCTGTAAATTTGTTGGTGTTTTTCAATTTTTTTTCTGACTGTCAATTAATAATAACTGATTTAAAGGTTTTTCTAATCATAAACTTAAATAATTTCGTTTAAATTTATGTTAACTTATATGTAAAGATTACCAGTTATTGAGTAATATTTGAATTATTAACCCTTGAGTTTATTTCAGTTATACTAAAATATTATTTCATGCCCTAATTGAGATCAGGTGGTTTAATTTAAAATTTGGTTAAAGATATTGTTAAAATATCTACATATTTCGTAAGAATATACAATAATAAATAATTCTTAATTTTTTGTAAATTTTAATTAAACTATAAACCATATGTGTATCATATTTAGTTAAGTTTAATAATCAAAATATAAATTCTTTTGTTTCTTTTTTAGGTATAACTTTGATTAAAAATATTTTTTTATATCATACTGTAAATAAAATGTATGCTTGGTGTTGTTAATAATTAATTTTATGATTAATTTATTTATAAAACTTCAATTTATCTAATTATTATTAATGTATTGTATATAAATGTTTCAAATACCTAGGTATTAAAATATATTTTCCAAAATAGAACGTTGTGTGAAATACATTTGATAAATACTATTATATTCTACTATATACAAATATATAATGAGTAAAAAGTAATTTAAATAGCATATGTGAGCTAATTGGACAATAAAGTTAAGACTTATTCAGTAGCATCAGTTTTTTTGTCATCTTGAAGTGATCCAATTTTCAGTAGGGTTTAATTAAATTTTGATAAATTACTGAACCTTTTTAGCTGATTTACATAAAAGTATCTATTACAATTGAATATATTTATTTATATTCAAATTTACAGAAAATATTTTTATTGTTAAATTATTTTGAGTAAAATATTTAATAACAAAATTAAAAAGTTATCTTTTATGTTTGTATTTGAATAACAAGTAATAAGATCGAAACTAGGTACTTATGTATTTAAAAAAATATATAATTCAAATTATACTAAGACAGCGGTTCTTAAACTGCAAGCACTAATTTAGGGAGGTATATTGCATCACCATAAAATTATTTTTAGGTTGATAAATTGACAATAATTTGCTTATATTTAAATAAATAAAAATGTTAATGTGCAATAATTTTTTTTTTTTTTTTTGATACGTAACCCAAACAATTTTTGGAACTACATATTAAGGATTAAGAAAAGATATAATTTTTATTATTTTAAAGCAGATTCATATTTCAAATTTTATTTTTCTTAAATAAATATAAAATGATGGTTTGTTAATTTTTATTATTTATATTTGTCATTTTATTCAGAAAGCGTATGTCATATTTTTATGTCTGTAATCATTATTTTTTAATTTTTCATATATGTACATGTAGACATATTTCACTGCCATTACTAGGTTATGGTCTTATGCATCAGTTTATTTAATAATCTTTTATATTTAAAAGATATTACCTTTTTTTAAATATATTGTTAGAGCCAATCAAAACATTTTTTACTGTTTGACTGTTTTATTATTACAAAAGACCTGTAAATCACTTATTATTATTTATTATTTTAATTTAAAGCAAAAGCTAGGCTCAACTATGGTACCATCATAGGCGGATATTTGGTTGAATTTTTTTTTTTGGGGGGGGGCTATAATAATTCAATGTAAAATAACCCGCAGGGACTTCGCCCCCACACCCCTTCTCATGCACAAGTAAAACTTATTACTATTAAAAATATAAATATGTTTAAATTGTATTAAAAAAAAAAAAAACACTAAATAATGTTTATTTAAAAATAATTTATATTTTATTTTAATGAAAAATATCTATTTGTATCAGCAAAGATATTCAAAATTTCATTGATTTTTATATTTTTCGATATTTAGTATTGAAAGATCACTGAAACTTCTTTCACAAGTAGCCGAACTTATTGGTATTGTTAATGCTATTGTCAATAGTTTTTTATTATTTCTTATTTCACAATTTTCAAAAAAAACGAACTGATAATTATAAAAAACACGAATAACATTTACAAAAAAGTTTCGATTTGGGGGGGGGGGCTAAGTAATCTCTATTTCGATTTTACACCCAATCTCAAGGTGCACACTTTGAGATTGTGGAATCAGAAATGGTCAAACCTACTCCTCCAACTTTCGCTGTTTCTTATCGCCTAGTCTGTCCTCATGTCCTACAATTTCCCTGGTTTCATAATATCTCTATTTCCCGTAATGTCATTGTCTCCTTTTCTCGTCTCCAGCTCGGCCACAACCACCTGGCCCACTCATTCCATTTATCTCTTAATGATTCTCCTTTCTGTACTCGGCACGTTGATCCTACTATATGCAATGCTTCACATCTTATTTTTAATTGTCCAAACTTTCTCACTAAACACCAGCTTCTCTCCAATATCTGTTCTTTCTTTAATATTCTCTTTACCCTCCTACATAGTTTCCAATTTCCTAACGCATTCCTTATTACTTCCATCGTTAACTTCCTCTCAGAAAGCTTTTTACTATAATTATATTTATTATTTAATATTGCTTTTCTAGTTGTTTTATGTAGTTAAGTTGTATTGTTTATTTATAATCGCTGAAGCAAATATTTTAATGCGCCTCTTAAAATAAAAAAATATAAAAAAAAAATAAAAAAATTAAAGTATGGAGACTGGTACATATAGGATTGCCATAAATTTATAGGGTGATACTGGGACAAAACCAACACATTATTGAATATATACTTTTTATATAATTTTTAATATATTGAGTAGACCATCAATAACTGACCATCAATATAATAATTTAAAATATTTATATAAAATATACTATATATTTGTATGTGAAATTACAAACTATTTTTTTATTATAAATTTATTGTTAAACGATTATGATTAAAATTTTATTTTGAGATAAAATCATTGAAATTCAAAATTAAACAATTCTATATTTCCTCTAAACGTCTAAGCTGGGACATATTGACGTCCTGAAAACAATCCTGGTTTTCCGAGATGTATGGCAACCCTATGTGCATGATTATTTTATTTACTTGTTTTAACATTTTTTATTGAAACATCATTATCTCTTATTTATCATGAATGTGATTGAATAAGATTAAATTTTTATTCATTTTATTAAATAGTAAGTTATTAAATGCTCAAATAATCATTAATATTATCATTTAATTCATAATATTATAAAATTAATAATTTTGGGAATCAATAATTATGTAAATAAAATAAAATGTTTAATAGTAAAATAATAATTTTGTTGAATTTAACTAACACCAAGCAATCATTTATACCTATTAAATGTACTTGAACATTATTTTTTATTGAAGTAAAATAAGTATAATATTATTAACAATCCTATTGTTCTTATAGCGCAATAAATTGGTGTCATAGTGTACCTAAAACATAAATATATTTTTCAGTAAACTCGGTATATACATCTATCAACAACTATGTCTTCACCTAGCGCCGGTAAGCGCCGTATGGACACAGATGTCATAAAATTGATAGAAAGCAAACATGAGGTTACCCTTTTAAATGGCTTGAATGAGTTTTGTGTTAAACTCTATGGACCACGTGGTACTCCATATGAAGGTGGCTTATGGAAAGTTCGAGTTCATCTTCCAGAACATTATCCATTTAAATCTCCTTCAATTGGCTTCATTAATAAAATTTATCATCCAAATATCGATGAAGTGTCTGGTACTGTTTGTCTTGATGTCATCAACCAAGCATGGACTGCCTTGTATGATCTGCTTAATATTTTTGAATCATTTCTGCCCCAGTTGCTTGCTTACCCAAATCCAATAGATCCATTAAATGGTGATGCTGCAGCTTTGTATTTGCATAAGCCTGAACAGTATAAAAAGCGTGTTGAAGAATATGTAAAGAAATATGCTACAGAAGAAGCGCTCAAAGATGATGGAAATGCTGGTTCAGATAGTGATGAATCATCTATGTCAGAGTTTAGTGAAAGCGAAGCACAAGACATGGAGCTATAGCCATCATTTTTTAAAAATTAATAATTTTTATTATTATGTATCCAGTTTTCGTTTGTTTTTACTAATTTACTTAAATTTTAGTTAAAATTAAGTAGATATTGGTAGATTTTTTTTATGTTGACCACATCTTCACATATTTGGAGAAGTAATTTTGTAGATATCTTTTTTAAGGACAAACAAATTAATTTGTGATATTCAAAGGAAAAAATAATAATATGTCAAACTTTAAACCCATTTTTATTAGATTAATACATGTATGTTATTCCAGACAATTCTTGAAATTGTTGCTTGGCTGTGTTGTACAATCTGGAAATATTTGTTAATAAATCTCTATAAATAACATATATAAGAAATCAACTTACTTTTTGGGTATATTCTTTCAGTTTTATTTGACATACAATTTAATTTGTTTAAATGGTTTATACTAATGCTTAATTATTATCACATAAAAGAATATTTTTTAATTGAAGACTTAAATTTAGTTGTATATTATTTTTCTTCCAACTCTCACTACATACTCTTTAGTTTTTTTTATTATAATATAAAATATAAAATATAAAACAACCATAAATTATTACTTTAATTTACTTAATAATGAGATTCTACATTTTTCATATATTTATATATCATAATAATTAATTTGAAATATATATTTCTCTGTTTCATACCAATTTATAATCTGTTAGCATTTCACTGTAATATAACAGATATATAGGTAATGTATTTACAATTAATTTTTAAAAATAATTTGTGCCACAATGGTGAAAGTATACCATGTAGCCTTAAGATTCTGGATTTTAATAAAAATATTTTGCTCTTTTATCATAATATAGATTTGTATTAAAATATTTCTACAGGTTTCTGTTCTTAACTCCAATGTTTTGTTATTTAAAAATTGTCCTTATCTATGTATTTAACCCTTAATTAGAGATCAATAAAAAAAAACTGCTGATTGATTAAATTAATTAATACTTGTGAAAATAGATTCATGTTTATAATTTAAATGTATCAAAAATTAAAATTATTCATTTTGTTACTATTTGAAACTATAAAATTTATACTTTTCTCATTTTGTAAGAATTTAAATCAATATATTTTTTTTTTTTTTTTTTATAGAATTCCCTGATCTCAATATATTATAGGTTTTATTTTGAAACTATATCTTTTCTGTTATTAATTGTTCATACAACTATTTTATAATATCTATTTTAAAAGATAAAGTACTAAAACAATAATTATTAAATGAGAAACCTTAAATCCAAGTTAAATAATATATACTTTATAGTAGTAATATGATTTGATAAAGCCATTTAATGCACTAAGTTTTTTTATATATTAAAATTTGCTTTATAGCTTTATTTTTCCTTAATAAGTTAAGTTTTATCTTGTTGTTTTTCATTAAAAAATAAATTTATAATATATATATATATATTATATATAATTTATCATTATAAATTTAATATATATATAATTAAATATGTATTAACCTTTAAGTATACAATATATTATGTGATTTTATTATGCATGGAATTTTTAGATGGATGATTATAGCAATATTAACAATAGATATCAAGAAGAGACAATTAACCCAGTTAAATTAAGTGAACAGGATCAGGCTACACTTGATAAACAAAATTCAAGAATAGTTTCATTATTCAAAGCACAAGAAATTGAAAAAAATTCTAAAAAGCATTGGGATATTTTTTATAAAAATAATGGCAATCGTTTCTTTAAAGATAGACACTGGACAACTAGAGAATTTTCTGAATTACTTGGAGATGACCAGCAGAAAAAAATATTAGAAATTGGATGTGGTGTTGGTAATTTAATATATCCACTTCTTGCTGAAGGACTGAATGCAATGTTTTATGCATGTGATTTTTCACCAAGAGCTATAGAATGTTTAAAATCAAACCCTTCTTACAATCCATTAGTAATTAATGCATTTACTTGTGATATTATTACGGACGAATTGATTACTAAAATACCTGAAAATAGTTTGGATATGGTAACTGCTATATTTGTGTTGTCAGCTATTCATCCAGACAATCATCAATTGGTAGTCTCGAACATTTATAAACTATTAAAATGTGGAGGTCTTTTGTTGTTTCGAGACTATGGAATTTATGATATGGCACAATTGAGATTCAAACCAGGACACAAGATTTCAGATAATTTTTATATGCGTCAAGATGGTACAAGGTATATATTTATTTTTATTTTTTTTAATTAAATGGTAGTATTCAATATTTTTAATTATTACAGATCATATTTTTTCTCAATTGAATATTTTCAAAGTCTTATGGAAAACAATGGATTCACAAAATGTTCTAACAAGTATGTATGTAAAAGAACAGTAAATGTCAAAGAAGAAGTTGATGTGCCAAGAAGATTTATTCAAGCAACATTCTCTAAAAAACCAACCAAATTCTAAAATATTCATTCTATAAAAATGTTAAGCTTTAAATTACTAGTTTCCATTATAATTAGCTTATAAAAATGTATGGATTATATTAAAACCATGAAAAGTATTCAAGAGTTTATTTTATTTTGAAGTAAAATAATTATGTAAGACTAATATAACATTAATAAAGAGTAAACTGTATTTTTACTGCATTCTTTTCAAACATTACCAAATAATATTATGTGTTTTTTGATAGGGTTAATTTAATTTCTTTTTACAATAGGTGCTGTAAAAGATGTATCTTATTTACTAATATCTATCAATTCTCTTAGTAGATTACTTTTTTGTGTTTATTTCTATATTATTAATAGTGTTTTAACAGCGCAAATATACATAAATTTAAAATTAACAATTGATATTCATTGTAAAAATTGTTTAATTTACCATTAAAACCTTAAATTAAGATCACTTTTTTTTAAAATCTATTTTAAGTTATTTTGACATAGGATTAGGTCTATAGATTATAGGCAATGAGATGTGGTAATTATAATATTTTGGTAAAACTATCACTAATATCATTGTAAATTTATTTTTAGCATTAATAGATGTATTTATAAGATTTTTTTCAAATTAAATTTGTGGCAATAAAGATTTATATTATATATAAAATATTGTGTGTTTGTACTTGTCTTTTAAGAAGTAAAATATAATATTTTAATACAATTCAACTTTACTACTAATTGTATTTTTAATGAACATGTCTATAAGAAACATCTAGTATATTTTTGTATTTCTTAAATTATAATAATTTATAAAATTTGTTATAAAAAAATTAATTAATATTTAAGCAAAATAAATTATTTAAAAAATAAAATTAATATAAAATAAATTTAGGTAGCAGTTCAAAAGTTATGTTTTGGGTTTAAATATTAAATTAAATAATGTAATTTATTATTTTTTTCATTAATAAATTATATTTTCTATTTTTAATATTATAAATGTATAATGTAAAAACCAAGTTTTTATTAAAAGATAATGTTAATATAAATTATTGAAATTTCACTATGAATCATTTGACTACCCCAAAACTATCTGTAAATCAGACTACCATATTCAAAACCAGAATGTATGCCAACCTTATATTCATGTGAACTCTTCTACTTGTACCAAAAATTTACTTATTAGAGAATGATACCTCTTTTTATTCAATTTTTATGGTATCATATTTATCTAACATTTATGTATTTAATAATGCTTTATAATCATTTTAATAAGAGTATTAACCACAAGAAACATCACATTTTGTTAGTAGATTTCATAATTTTTCTGCCACTTTTATATGTTGAATTTATCTTGCTGCCTTTGTATAACAAAAATGTAGTGATTTTAGGATTAAACTTAAAATAACCTCTTTAAAGTATTTTCTAATATTGTTAATCAATATTAGATTATCATCAATAACCATTAATTAGTAATCATTTAATTTAAATCCAGATTTGTTTTGAATTTATGTTGGAGATTTTTTTTACGAGATTAAAATTTTAATTGTTTCTATTAATAAATTAATTTTTATTTCATGAAAAATGTCTTTATACTTGGTATCTGGTTCTTAATACAAGCCATCCAGTACAATAATATATTTTTCTGACTTGAGTTCTCTACAGTGTATACTAATGCTTAATATTAATCAGTAGTTTCCTATATATTATGTTTGAGATTATATTACTAAAACCATAGCCAGACTTCAAATAATACAATATTTATAAACAATTGGCTAGCCCGAAAAACGTTGTTTTGTCATATAAATTATTTCTAGAGAATATTTTGTTAGAAAAAAATAACTAATGTATTATATAAGTGTGTAAGTATGTGGTCAGTGCCGTAACAACTAAACATTGCACCCTGGGCGAAACTTCAAAATGCGCACTTATGTATTTTTAACTTAAAAATATTACGCTTATTAGATATTGTTTTCAATGATTGCTTTATTTGATATGAAGGATATTAATGATTTTGTAAACAAAATACACGACATTGGCCGTTGTAATTTTTAACATTAAATGCAAGATTTTCATTTCTGCGTCTCTCCCAGGAATTGCGCTCGAGGCGTGGGCACCTCTCGCCACCCCTTTGCTACAGCCTTGGATGTGGTACCTATATAAGTGAAAAAGGTATGGAGTGCTGTGGTGAACGTTGATGAAATATAAAAATGAAAAAACATCAAACATTTATTTTTTTAATAATTTATTAAAACTGATCCTTTAAAATTATGTATATCGCTAATTATGAAAATATTTGTAAAAACTGATATCAATCCCTTAATGCAATAGAGTGTACAATATTTTTTGTTATCCCATCTTTCGCCAACACAAACAAACTGGATGATTCGAGAGCACGCCACGTATAATTGTCCATGTGAAAAACATGATATGATCATATCTAAGCCACGGACAGACTTTGTTATGGCTTAATTAAATTAATTTAATTCCCCAGCCAGCAGAAATTGTAAATATGTACATAGGTCCGTTCACGATACTAGGTCTCTGGTATGTCACTTATAACAGCATATCAGTGGCTTGCTTGATTAGTTCCATAAAAGTGGATCAAAGTCGTGAACGAGGCTACCTGTTCCTAACATATTAATTAATCCAACGAACATGAGGCAGCGGTTGTCTGCTTAATCTCTTTTTTTTTTTCCTTTAGCCTTTGAGCGTCGTGGTCGCGTGAAGTCTTTGCCGGCAACAGTCAAATGTTCCTGTTTTTTTTTTTTTGATATTGGTATTTTCAATGCCTAGCGTTGTCCATGCAGAGAGATTTTTGCTTCTGTGAGTAGGTTAGCGGTGGTGTTGTGAGTGTGTGGGATCACACCTGTTATTTTTATTGTATTTAAATAGTTACATACGGATTCCGGCACCGCGTACCCCATAACTTCACTATAGTAGATGTGCAGCACTACTAGATTTATAGTCACTGTTAGTATATTTTTACATGTTTTTAAATTATCTGAGCCGATAGGCCAGAATCATTTCATATTGTGTTTGTTTTTTTTTTATATAATCATATTTACATGTGTTTTATTATTATCTGAACCATCAGGCCAGAATCATTTTATATTTTTTATTTGAGCAAACAGACCAGAATAATTTTATATTGTTTTTATAAATGTATTTTTTATACATGTTTATTCTTATCTGAGCCATCAGGCCAGCAACATTTATTTAAATTATTCATTGTTTTTTATATCTTATGTTTATTATGTAGTTTCAGACTAATTATTATTATTAAAAAGTTTAATTTAAATAAATGCTATCTATTTGAATAAACAATAACACCAGTCTTCATTAAATATTTGTAACACACCAATCGTGGATAACGATTTATAAATCGTGTCAGTCAAAGATCGCCCAAAAAAGCTCTTTATCTTTAACAGACATCGTTGGGCACTGAGACTTATTGATAGTCATTGCAAATGCCAATCTAATTAGAAATTGAAGGCGTTTAAATTGTATTGGCACATCTGTGGGTATAATAGGAATTCGTGGTAGTAATATATTTTCACCTCGGAATTTTAGGCTTCAATAACATTTTCATTAATTTTTTAATGACAAATCGCGTGCCGTTGCACAACCGTGGTGAGTTCAAATTACGAAGCAAGATAACCGGAGATCCAACCTTCAGTTATAAATTATGCGGTGGCTTGCCTGGTAAATCCAATGAGTTTAAAAATTCTGTTGGATAATTTACAGCTTTAGTAGCATCGCAAACTGTATCAATAGATTTGTATGACACCAAGTCTCCTGGTAACAAATGTTGTATCTTAAGATTCAATTCGTTGACATTCACATTTTTTACTGCTAAAATTGTTTTTATGCTAGCCACTCATGATTTGTGTATTATCTGTGTACATTGGGAAATATCTGGTCAATGAGAGTATCTTGCGAATCAATGATTGTGCAGAAATTTGGTCGGTAATTGTATGCATCCCGTTTCTTCTGTAGTAATTTGCCATTAGCATTTAAAAATATTAATATTTTCACAATATTTGAATAAGGTTTTATCTCAAATATTATTGTTTAAATATTTTGCAATTATTTTGAAAATATTTGATCTCCAAATATACCTAATATACATAATGTTAAACTGTAGTTCATACATTTACAATTATATATACTGTACATACCAGTGGTGAATTTAAGGGGGGGCCCGAAGGGCCTCCCCCCCCATTGGCATAAGTTAGGTTTTATTATTTTTTTATTATTAATTTTTATAATTTTATCTTTTATATTGTTTCGCTCAAACACATTATATTATAATTTAAGAAATATTATCATTACATATATTTTATATTATTATTATATTATCATTATATAAGAAATTCTCCCAAACATATTGCTATTACTTTTATTATGCGGGTATAAAGGCATTTCGCCTTAACGCAGACGGCAGACCGGCTATTTTTGCCATGTATCGTTCCTACTGGCCATCTCCATCTTATCTTATTTTATTTGTAAGACGATTCTCACTAATCCATTTCTATATTGCTATTATCGTTTTAAAATGTTAGTAATTTTACAGTCGTCGTGTCACTCGTGTGTAATTCGTATTTCGTGCTGTACTCGCCTGTACTGCTGTTGTCCGTAGTGTTTTCGTTTGTAGTTTCGTATTCAATTATTCTGTTTTAAAATGTCACAAAAACGACAAAGTGAAATAAACTTTTTTTTTAAAAAGTTGAAAACAAGTGACGAAAATAATCCATCTCCAAGTGAAGGTATAGAAAATGTAAGCGTGTTACCAACAGAGTCAGAGCCAGCTACATTTTCTGATTCGTGTGAAGTCGATTCTAACAGTCAATATGATATCGCATTTGCTATTGAAGAAAATACAAATCTAAAAATTCGAAACGATCCAAATATGCTCTACAAATATTTAAAAGAAACGTGGTCACCTAAACAAAATTATATTTTCCCTGTAAGTATGAATAAAAAAGGTCATAAAAGAAGCTTTCAAATTGAATGGCTAAATAAGCACAACTGATTAGCTTCTAGTCGTAATAGAGAAGAAGCGTTTTGTAAAGTATGTGTACTTTTTGGACCAAAGTTTGGTGGGATTGGAGGACAAAGGCTTGGG